ACCAAACGGAACTTACCATTCTCTAAAGAACATAAAGAGTTGTGGGTAGAGACACAAAAATCTTGGGTTACTATGTATTTTTAGTAAAAATTGTTGGAAAAGGAAATAAATAGCATTTTTTACAATAATCTGAATAAAAGCTGGGAAGAGCTTGACACATAGCAGGATCCATCTGGAACAATGATTTTTGCTGAGAATTGTGGATTTATTTAGTAGAAATAACGCCAACGTGATATCGGTATATGGAAATTTCATACAAAACAATCCATATATGGTAGTACATCCATATATGGAAATCATGATGAGTCATACTTTTTACTTCCATTTTTGTTTAATCTCAAAATAATTTTTCTCATTTTGCTTCATCTGATCAGTTTGCTCTACAAAAATGTACTCAAGAAAATACACTAGTCCCAATTATATTGAATTCTCAAAAAATCAAACAAATACTGGGAGATTCGTTTGGTTCCAAAAATCCTACAAGGGGAAAAAAAATTTTTAACCCTGCTTTCAACTACTAATAATTAAAGATTTGGGTCAATTTGAAAAGTCCCAACAAGTCTATCTCAGTGAAAAAGAAAGAGAAGCCTTGTCGGCAATCCGGAATATTGTTATTCGCGATGCTGAAAACCTTGGACTCATACCTATGTTTGAAGCCAAATCTGGCAAAGAATCAACTATGGATCAGGAGCTCGACATCTGCAATAGAGTATATGAAATAGCAACATACAACATGAGGAGGGTGTGTATCACAATCAAGGAGTACAGTGTTAACAAACCTCCCTACATCCAACTTGATTCTTCACTGCAAAGGAGAATGAAGCAATGAAACATTTTGCCTATGTAAACTATACTTTGAATGAATTCAAAGAACTGTTCCAGATATTGAGAGCCTTTATTTTTTTTGATAATTATAAACCTCAGTAATGCTTTGTGATGTTTTGTAGGTTGTTAATTGAAGTTTTATTTGTTTGAAACATTTTTTTTACTGAAGTGCACATTTAGAGCTAAGATATCTGAGGAAAAGTCAGACAAAACATACATTTCAATCATAATTGAAATAAAACATTAAACAAATAACAATGGATTTTTCAGTATTTGTAAAAAAAAATTACAGAAAGTTTATTTAATTACTGTTTTAATCTACATTTGAGTAAATTGGTCTTATTTGAACAAAGTTACAAACAAAATGTAGTTGAACACCTTATCAATATTTTTTGAATTTCTGTTTTTCATTGATTGTTTTCATTTTTGCTTGCCATAATTTGAGGTTTTGATTAGCTACATGAGTTTTCTAAAAGTTAGACTCTAAATGTGGGAAACAATTATATGATGACTACAAAACAAATTTAAATGAAACGACAATTCGAGTTTTTTTAAGTTGTTTTGTTTCTTTCAGTGAGAAAAATGTTTCTATCAAAAGCATTTTCAGTGTCTGAGATTGAAATTTATCAGCTTTTAAGGTTGAAATACTACAAAATACTAAAACAGTGGTGGACAGATGGCGTTGATGGAGATTGTATTAGTTTTAACTTGTATAGAAACACAGAAAGTTCAAGAATTTTGATAAAAAGACGTAGAGGCGATTTCAGAAAAAAGGGGTACTGCCAGATTTATCAACAATGTTTTATTTAGAAGAGCTAACTCAGATTGAGTGATCGATCAGTAAAAAACTAAACAATGGAAGAGCCTATGAAACTAAAATTGAAGATATGGAACATCATTTCGATTACTGTTCTGAATTTGATACAAATACAAAATCTAGATTTGTCAGAATATCTTTTAATCGATTTTTCAAAATTAAAAAACTTCCCGTTGTTTATATTACAATATACCAAAAAGAAAACAATAAAAATAATATATATTGGTAATTTATTTTTACACTGCTTAGAAATAAAAAAAAATCGAAAAAATTTTGATTGAAATTTCAAAATTTGAATTGAGTATCAAAAAAATCAAATAAATCAGACGAAAAATCTACTTTTTTCTCTCATCTCTTCATTCTGATTGGTTGATTTCCAAAAAACAGTATTACCAAAAGATAACTCAATTCTGATTGTTTGATATCAAAACTGTTGAAAATTGTAGAGAAAAAGAGCTCATTTCTGATTGGTTGACATTAAATTTGTTGTAAGTTCTATGAACATTGAAGCTCGACTCTGATTGCTTGATATCAGAAAAGATAAAATTTTCCTTATAAGTAATGCTCGATTCTGATTGGTTGATAGCAAAAGTTTTTAAAACTCCATAGTTATATTGAATGATTTTTATTTCAGCTAGGCTAAATAGCATTTCCATTCTGATTATCTTTGACGTTAAAAACAATTGGTTAAGAAATTCACATAAACATTTTCAATTACCTTTATTCAGTTTTGAGGGTATTCAACTCTTCTTTTCTAAAAAATTTGGGACATTCTAAATCTCCCATTTTTTTTCTGTTCTTATTGAGATGCCGTCACTGAACAGAAACGAACGAGTTGCATGTTTTGAATGAATGTGGCAGAGAACACTACGTAAAGATGCGCCAAGACAACGAAAGCACTGTGGCGTTTCAAAGTGTTCCAATTGTAACTTTTATACATTTAGCAGCGAGGAAATCACTGATCATATCATGAAGAAGCATTCTTCTTGTCAACATAATGTTAAATTAAGTGAACAGCAGTCTCACAACACACTCCAAGAGAAGGTAAAATTGATTTATTTTTAATAAAAACATAGTAAAAAACACTTTGAATAATAATTTTTACTGAATCTGAAAGGTCTATACACTAAACTTGAAAAACTTCTCGTAAAAATTATACTGATTTTTTATCACTATTCTTGATCTGTCAATTATCTTGTTATTCAAAGTGAACAATTTTTTTATTCAAAGAAACCAGCAACAATCGAGTTCAAATTGTCGTGAAACTTTCAATGGAAATCGATGTAAAAATCTTGAATCTACAGTAAAAATTCCCTTGGTTGCAAGCTTGCGGAATTTTTGTTGCCATAATTTTGTAGTAAAAGTGCATAACATAAGTGTTTGTTAAAAAGTTTTACAAAAAAACTGGATTATTATAAAACATCGACTAAATGAAAGGTTTTGCCCAGTGACCATTTTAAAGTTTTCCTTGCTTAGTGCTTGTATAAGTAATCATAGAGTAGTGCGTAGCAGATTTTTCAATTCGAAAACTTGATAGAACTATCGAGTTTTCTACTTAGTAAGTTTCGCAAAATACTGCTTAATAAGTTCAATTGTTACAGTTTCCACCTTGATTTACTTTCTTAAATCGATTTTCTTAAAAGAGGGGATCTTTTAGAAGTTTTTAGATGTTGCAGAAATATGGAATTAAAATCCCTTGCGTGTTTCTACTTCCGAAGGTTTTCAGATTTTAAACAAAAGAGCAGCTCTTTATTTAAAACCTGGTATCTTAATCCATTGGGAAACCTATTCCCTATCTTAATACATAGCAAATCTATTCCCTATCTTAATACATAGGAAATCTAAAGCCTATCTTAATACAAAGCTTGGAGACCGGATGCTCTATTCCCTATTTTAATACATAGGATCTTCATCCCCCCACCCCCTCCCCCCCCCCCCCCCCCGGCTGAATTGCCCCGACATATACTACTATCCATTTTAATCGAATATTATAGAATTTTATGGACAAGCCATAAAATCAGTATAATCGATCATTATCCATGCAACCTCATTGCGGGTAAAATTTTACATAAATATGACATCAACGCATAAAAGAAGTGCTTGCGCTGGAAAGTCTCGAAGTTTTCAGCGAAGCTCAAAACAAAAAATATAGTCGGTAAAAATATTCTAGATTACCAAAATTTTTTGTTTTGGGATACCGAAATTTCATTTAGGCTTTTGAAGGCTGAGGAAATTGTTCGCGTTGTCCGAGAACTTTTCCGAGTTTTTCGTTTTTAATCAGTTTTTCAGGATTTGGTGAAAACTCTGACTTTGTGAAGTGAAAACATCGATTTAATTATAGCTTACGTATGAAATAAATGAAATACTTTAGAAAAATCTTTGTTATCTTCATAGCTGTTTTGAAGATAAGAAAAAACGCCAACTTGGCTCCCACGGAAAAATTGAAGTCTTCTTTTTCTCATCTTGGCCTCGACTCGAACGCATGGAATATTTGCAAACAATTTCGAGGCAGTTTCTTAAAATATTAATAAACTCAACAAGACCCGCTCAAAATTTTTCGGGTGTAGATTCCCATGATTATTTCAGCATAAGTGACTCATACCATTATAAAACTCTCACAGGGTCTTTTCGACAATACCTTCCGCCTCCATAAATGATGAAAAATAAAAAAATGATAATTTATTATACAAAAATGGACTGATGCTACTAAGATAGACAGTTATCAATATGGCGCAGGCTAAAGCGACGCAATTTCATTTTAAGCTAGCCTCAAACAGGTTTCTTTTCCTATTTTTTGTCGTTGTCTTCCCAAAGGTTTCCCAAATATGGGTCCAAACGCGATATGAATTGTCATTTGATTCGTTTTTTCCATCTAAATATCATCCCAACATTTCTTAGTAATATCGATCCAAATTTATAAAGATACTTGTTGTTTACAATTTATGTGGGTATAACCGAAAAATACCCGCCGACAAAAATTGAGCACAAAATATGGTCCGATTTTTCGATCATTCTGAGTTACTTGTTTTCCAAATTTACCGGCGGCTTCTTCGTGGAATTAGAGCGAGTTTAAGCTTGATAGTCGCATAACAATAGCTAGGACTCTTAGCTGCCACTTTCGAATGCCAATTTGGGCAATTTGCATTTCGACCTAATTAACTAATTGTTATACTGATAAAACAAAGTCCAGAAAAATTCTAATTATTTACTGTTTTTGGAATTTTACTCTGATTGATTATTTAATGTACAATTTGTCAATTTCAAAAGTCAGTCGCGCTAATTGGTTGATTTTGAGGCTTTTGGAATTTTGGAATAGCATATATAAAATTGAAAATTCGTCATCTATTTATTGTCCAGTCAAGTATCGATTTCAAATTCAAGTAGCTAATACGTAATCGATAATTTCCCGCCATTTCTTGTCGACCAATCGCGTTTCTTTATCTCACAGTCTGTCTTATCGTCCTAATCGTTCGTGGTTTCTCACCGACAAATTTTGTTCTTAAATCTTTTTCACTTTTTGTGAAACTTTCTTGCGTGCCAGTGCTTGTGCGTTCTGTATCGACGATCTTTATCGCTCAGTTTTCGTCCTAAAAACTTTGTAATCGAATCGTTCAAATTCAAAACTCAACTTATAATCCATATTTCTGTTTAAAATTTTTTTTTGTGAGTATTTCCCGTTACCGTGAGTAATTTTCCCAGTCTTGTAGTAACAATTCAGCATTTTGTGAAAATAGTGCGCTATTTTGTACAAGATATATAACGATAAATTTGTATCATCCTATTTTGCTGTCTTGCCAAATTTGAAATCAATTCCTAATTTTTTTAATTCCGCAATTCCCGAGTTTTTTGTCCGTGTTACGTATGAGTATTCAGTGACATTGTCATCCGCTATTTATTGTCAGTTTTCAGTTCAGTGTGTGTATAGTTAGTGACTGTACATAACAAACAGCTAACTAAAAAGAAAAGATAGAATTCGTAAATTAATCACGGGCGGATTTTTCCTGCTAAAATTTCAACTCCCTTCTCTTTATTTATAAAAACTGATCCACAAATAAAACACATCGAATTTGTTTATCCTTGTTTGTATTTCCTTATCCAGGTCCCTCGACATATTTTAGCATATTTTCATAATTTTATTTTTGATCGAGTTTTATTTCTTGTACAATAAATAGCTAAATCTATCAAAACACTGCCCCCTTGTCCACAAAATTACTTTTGCCCTCAGTAACCCGCCAACTTAACGAATCCTTGAGGGAACTAGTTATTACAATCCTTGACATAACCTAGTTATACCGAGATAATGCTTCAAAACGGCGTTTCAAACGCAGACTTTGCAAACAACAACCCTGGATCAATGAACAACTTTAATTGTTCAGTAGTATCTTCGGATGTAAAAATGGAGACTAATAGCTTCATGTCACCAACTGATCATCTTATTCCCACCCCCTTATCCTTGTTAAACAACAACAACAATAACAGTATCAACAACAATGTTGAAAAAGTCCCCCTCAAAACGATAACCTCGGCTGAAAATGTCCAACATAGCCCGCCGATGGCAAACGGCGGACCAGCACCTGCCGGAGGCAAAACACAGCCCCCGTTTTCACCCAAAATACCACAGAACAACCCAACAGGGACAGGTCAAGGTCATCTGATGAACGGATCTGCAAATGGGTTCGGGGGTCAGAATTATTTGCAGAACGGGCACAACAAGGGGTCTTTTGCACAGAATGGGGCAGTGGGCAACAACAGCAGAAATCCCGACTTGATCAAACTGTTTGTGGGACAGATCCCGAGAGACCTGCACGAGCACGACTTGCGCCCGATGTTCGAGGAGTTCGGTCCCATTGTGGAGTTTTCGATTCTCAAGGACAAATACACAGGAATGCACAAAGGTGGGTTGTTTTCGAAAAATCTTTTGTTTTCTTTACTCGGACAAGGAGTTCTTAGTTATTACTAGAAAACAAACTAAGAAAAATAGCTAAGAAATCCTTGTGTGCACGTCTTAAATGCACATCTTAAGCAGCGGTTTTCCATAGTCGGCTGCAGAGCTAGTGTGTTGACCATTTCCGTCGTAGCTGAACCATCTTAACTTCAGCGCTTCGAATACAAATGTTCAAATTAGTAAGAAAATTGGTACGTTTAGAGTTCGATGAACTTTGTGAGAACTTGAAGCGTGTTCGAGTTTGTTCTATTCGGGTGCCCGACATCAAGACGACGGGGCTTTAAGCCAAATCGTAAAATTAAGGACTTCAAGCCGAAATTGTTCTCATAAGTCATGAAATATGATTAATTTGAAGATTGGGCTGAAGAGTTTCTCAATTCATGACCTTTTTGTACCAGTTTTTGGCCTTCTCATAAAATATAAGCCTCCAATTGACGTTTAGGAAAGTTAAAACTTAAAACCTAGTTGAGGGTGTTTTTGTTTAAAGTTTATTCATTTCAAAATCCGGCTGGTGTAAATTATGATTGCCTTAAGGCGTGCATTGTCAAGAAAACGCTAATTATGACTTAACTTGCCTAAACTTTTGAATAATACCATTTTGCAGATGACACAATACTATTTTGATGTCCTTATAAATTTTAAGCTTCGACCTTAAGTCGCTTCGGCTTGAAGTCCCGTTGGCTTGTTGTCCTAGATCCGTCCTATTCTGCTAATTATAGGCTCCAGCATAAGTGCCAGGGCACCTCAAAGCGGCATCGACTACCGTGTTTGTTTGATATTGTGGCTATAATTAACTTCTGTTATTTCTGTTTGTCCTCATTCATGACCTTTGCACCTCTTGACCCTTTCGGTGTCTTGATTAACACTTTGGTTTCCCAAATTTCAGCTGGAGCTCATTTTTTTTTCAACAACTGCAAAAGTTGGAGCAATTTTACAGCATCGCAGATAAAGATCAAAATTGGTTTTCTTAATTGTTCACGTGACGTTTTTCAGTCCAATCATGACTTCAAGTACGTCAAATGACATCACCTGAGCTTGAGCAAATACACAATTTTGTACAAGAAATCGCATGTTTCCAGGTTGACTCTATCTATATACATGAAAGGCAATCAGCCAGATATTAACTTGCAGGTTTGAACAAAATCGAAATCAAGTTTTGTAGGACAACACCTTGTTAAAAAGAGCAAATAAAAATAACGATAACCTAGGAAGAATACAAAAGTCTCAAAAAGTTAACAAAAGGATGATCGATGGCTGATATAATATATATAAAAACAATAACGATCGATGAGCTTGCTAGGACTCTAAAAAACATCGCATCCAAACTGGCCAGCTTTTTGTACCTCGAAAATTAGTCATACAAATTCTAGTCAGCTTAAGTGTTAAAAATGCACCTTCTGCGATTATTGTTTATTTGGTCTCAACTTCGAGGATTGTTGGCATTTCGATTTATCGAAGAATGTTTGCTCACTTTTATTGAAAAGATGCCAGCTATTGATATCAGAGAAAAGGCACCGGCTATCGTGCTGATTGTAAGAGCGCAACACATTGCTACGCATCTCCAAATAACAATATCTAAATAAAAACGGAGTTTCCAAAATCAAACCAAAAACATTCATGTTGAAAGAAAATAAAAATTTCAAGCAAAACTAAAATTCAAATAAAAATAAAATAACTCATTTTCATGGCGTCCTGAAAAATGTTAAATAAAATTTGGTAATTTCTGGATTCAAATCCATTTCTGTTTGATTTCAGCTTATGTTGCGACAAGGTGGCTAAAACTTGATTTAAAAGCCAACCTTTGAAAACAAATTATGACAGTTGGGGTAAACTTGATCTCTCATTTTGCTAAACAATCGAAGGTTTACCCAAATAAGCTTATGGGTAAAACGGGCCCCTAAAACAGCCTAATGTTTGTATTCTCTAAGTTCGAGACATTGTCACTTGATTTAATGAAAATTTCGACTTCCAAATCAGAAAAATTTAATTCAAATTTCACATTTGGCTTTATTGGAAAATTCCCCGGAACGTAATTTTTAGGAGACATAGATCTGTAATTTTGGGATTAAAATTGTAAACAGGCATTCTGTTGCCAATTTTGTGCTAATTTCAAATTCCTTTATCCTACTTCTCAGCTTTTACCTTTTTATCGAGGGTATTACAATTTTTGTCTTTTAGAAAACCTATTAGAATTTTTGGCCTTTGTCTTGAGTTGATTTGATTTTGGAAAATTATCCAGGATTCTTGAATTTTTACAAGTGAGTAATTAACTTAAATAGCCATTACTTGCAGCACTTTTAAAGAGGCTTTAAAATTCGGTAAGAGTGGGGGAATTCCAGAGGGCAATTATCTGGAATCGTGATCTGGCTAAAATTGGATCGCCTGCGGCTTCTGAACAATGTCTGATTATTGTGTCATCCTAGATACAAGTTTTCATGCGTAGGATACTCGTACAAAAAACCGCAACGATAAAAAAATCAATTTTTGATACTCGAAATCCCCAAAAATGCGAGAGAAAAGAAAACTTGTGAGAAATAATAGGCAAAAAATGAAAGAAAACTAATCAATTTTTGCATCCAAAGACGGCCTTCTTATTATTTATTAACTTTGACAGTTAGTTTTTGAATACATGTATTGTCATTGTCACGTAAATTTAGTTGAATATACGTTTTGACTACTTTCATGTGACTAGTTGATGTCTCGTACTCTTGACCTTTTTTTTCTTTCAGACTGTTATTGTTGTTTGGGTTGAAATGTTTTTTTTTGTGCTGTTCCAGGTTGCGCCTTTTTGACCTACTGTGAGAACCAGAGTGCGATTGAAGCTCAGGAACGTCTGCACGAGAAACGAATTCTACCAGGGGTAAGTCAACGCCACGTATCAAACCTAGCACCATTGGTTGAAATAAAAATTACTCAATCATTCTTAATAGCCCTCAGAATTTACGTGTCAATGATACTTAAATTAATACCAGAAAATTGCAGAAATTATACCAAATAATCGAATAATTATGAGTCGCGGAGTGCTGCCGTATACTTTGATACTGTGTCAATGGGTCTACTATCTGGCATTTGTAGAAATTAATTTAAATGATTACTTTTCAGTCTGACTGATACCATTAAAAAACACAAAAACAGCTACAAATTGCTGAAACGTTCAATACAAAGAATACGAATACGAATACTGTCATATCATTAAATAACTTGTTTATTGGATCTTTTGAACTATCCTCCCCTGTATAGTATCCAGTAACGAATATCCCCCATGCATAAGAATTATTTAACGACGAAGTATTTTCAAATTTGTTATTAGCAGCAAAATCCCTTCTTTTGCAATAGGGGAGGGGGGTTTACTTAAATAGATCACTTTTGTTTCCAAACCTTGTCTAGTATTGGATTAAAGATGGTGCTTCCTTAGTTTCTTTCAAATCTTATTTCGAATTCAATGTGACTTCATTTCTTTTAATTTAGTTCGCAGAACTAATTAGTTGAACTAAATACAAATGGCGTCGATTAAGTTCTTCTATATAAGTATCATTAGTTCTCTTTCTTAGTGCCGGATTATGATGTCGTATTCCAGGAAGGTGATCCTATGTAGGCTGACTAATTGAAGCACTTTTCGGATGTTACTTGTCTTCTAGCTTTCAACGTCTCAGCCCTTCATAAAAGGAAGATAAAATGAAAAATTATATCTGACTCATGTCTTTTGGAATACAGGTAGCATGTAAATAAAGATCTTAAATGAAGCTTACCTAATGAAAAGATTTTTTTGACGAGACATTACTTGTTCTTTTTTGTACAGTAAAGGTTGTCTGATTAATCGTGCGATCTTCCCCTGAAGTTGACCTACTTGAGAATTTCACCCAATGCACGCAAAATTAGTCCGAAGAAAATTGATCTCCACAATATTCGATCCCCTGATCACCAACCACTGATATCATCTTTGATACTATTTTACTAGTAGAGTGACAATTGGTAACAGGCGATAATTCGTAAAAAGCCACCATTCGCAACAAACAAAAATTCGTAACAACATAGCCGGTTACTTTGCAAGTGGCACAGAATGTTCCGACCATAGTCTTAACAAATACAACAAATTTTTTTCGAATTATTGTCGTTTTTTCGGCGTGTTATGATAAAAGGAGCTGAATAAAAAAATGGAGATTAGGTATATTCGACAGTCATAGTAAAATAAGCAAATTGGAAAACAAGTTTTTTTCAGAAAATTTACTTAAAAAATGGAAAAAAAATCATTTTTTTGAATTTATGAAAATTTTGGTTTCAAAAAGGAGCTAAAATACTCAAAGTAAACTAACGTTACTCAAGAAAATTAAGGTTTTATGTTTTAAATTGAGCTATTGTAAGCTTTTGAGCATTATGTTGATTTCGTAACAATTTATACGAAAATAAGACTGCTGGCTCGCTTTTTCCCCTCGAAATAAGACGAAAAAGCAAAAATTTCAAACCGGTTTTTCTCGACATGCAGTTCACTCAACCCAGTCCGATGGTTATTTGTGGTACCTGATTTTGCGTGGAAATAAAAAGAGACAATAAAAAACTAAAACTCACCCGAATACAAAGCTCCTCCCATTTTCAATGGTCGGAACAACAAGGCATTGGCAAGTGGAACAAGCTCGCTCTGATGCGCTTACATCCGGCCCGAAAGGAATATTGCGCGTGAATCATTGTTCCCCTCTTAATCTACTGTTACGATTTGTCGCTTGTTTCGACTTTTCTGTTACAAATTGTCGCCTCACGTAATTTACTACATAATTTTAAGCCGACAGCACTTATATTTTTGGCATTTATCAGCGTTTTTGGCACCTATATGTTTAAGTTTTGTGAGGAAAATTTAAGGAAAACGACAACCACAAGTTTTTTTTAAAAATAGTTGGAAACTTTATAGTTTCGATTTAAGGTCGCCGGTGGGCGAGCTACTCGCGCGTCGCCGCTTCGCGGCGGTAACAGGCGCTAAATTTTGTATGTAGTCATTTCCTCTGTTGGCAAGCTTGTAACACGTCGGCGCGACTGTGGCAGTGAGTATTTTGCGATTGTATTTTGTTGCGAGTTGTAATACGATTTTTTCCGAATTCCAAAAAACGATATGATGGCCAGTTTTTTTTTCAAAAATTGATATACAGCGCAGAAAATTTTGACTCGAATGGTCTTAAATAGTATTATTGGTCGGCCAAAAAAAGACAATGTTCGCGATCCGACCCTGGTACGGTTGACGGAATTACTTTTCAAGCGCGACCGCACGATATCTAATTATACTACGTACCCCCGGAAAAATGCAGATTTTTTTTTGCAATTAATGAACTATTATGTTATTTCAACCATTGACTCAAATTCATGTCTTCAAGTTGCCTTTTAATCTCTGTTCGAGCTTCAATGATTTGCTGGTTCTTTTTGATGAGATCAGAAAGAATACAAGGTAAGCAGTCCTTTCATAGGAATATTCCTTTTGTCTTGATCTTATTTGAGGAAATCAGGTATAATGGGTGGGTTGACGGGGGAGGGGGGATTTCTGGTTGAAACATTAGGGTTGGCTCTTAGATTCGAAGGTCGGTTCGTAGCGGATATCAACTTACTTTAATAGGTTCCTATGATGATGATGAATACCTTTTTATATCTGATAAAAAGCACTCTATTAATTCTTACTAATAGCATCACTACAAAAGTAATGCTACTTCTTTAATAATATAAGTAAATATCTTATCCTTCCATTTTTACCCTTAGCCTTGCGGGGCAACATTTTTGCATCAGTTGTTTGTTTGTGTTTTGTTTGTGTTGTTTTTTCACCCCGTAAAATCTATTCCAATTTCTGCTTTGAGACGTTCCTTCTTTTCCTCTTAGCTCTAGCGTGCTTCTATAATGATTATATTATATTCGTTAATATTGTGACTATTTTACTATTATCACATGTATTGTATAGGTGGACCATTGTGTATGTGAATTAACCCTCGCTTTAACTTGAAAATCTGATATTCTTCCCCTTTTTTCGTACGAGGTTTTTCTTCCTCTGTCTTCTTAACATTTTATTGACCATTGTTTCAAAATACATTACATATTCTGCTTCTCAGTTTTAAGAATCATATCACGTCTTGTTCGCATCTTGAAATTTTTACTGTCTAATAGAATATATTAAATCACAATTGCGTCTTGATTTTACGTTGACCATTAACTAGGAATGTCATACAATTACAATTTTCTATGATATAGTATTTATTTATAAACGCTTTCTTCTGTCTACCTCAACTATTCAAAAAATTTTGACCCACGCCTGAAAAGGTAAATTAAAAATTTGGCCTAATTTATAAGCAAAATTCGAGAATTTTTTTGATATCAAAATCTTTATTAATCTAATCTATGATAAAGAAATATACTGTGACTCAATCCAAATGGAGTTATCGTTTTTCAGCTCGCAATTAAATTAGTCTTAGAAAACTCATCAAATTAATCTTCCCTTATCTTTCTATCTTGTACCGAATTCGTCTCTGATGTGGAAATTCAAAACCAAAGACACTTCCTCAATTTCAACTCGATGCTTTCTATTTATCAAATTGAGGCTTTAATTTTCCATGGGGACCTATGGAAAGATGGTTAGGGGAAGTCTAAGTTAATTAGTTTTGACCACATGTTTGTAGAGTCATCCGGATTAAGATAAGGTTTATCTGGCCAGGGGAGCCTATTAGTTAACCGAGATTTCCCACCCGGTTAATTGGCAGGATAAATGAGAATTAAATTGGAAAGTGACGTTTGCTAAGTTCAATTCCATTAAAGAATTGAGCTCATCCCAAGTGAAAGGAGCATGAATGTTTTCATGCGAAAATGCAGGAGCATGAATGTTTTCGTGAACGATTCGAAAACCAAAAGAAAAATTGAGCAATCGGAAAAGATAGAGAAAAACATGTCTGAAAAATAAGAGAGTTGGGAAAATGGCACCAGGAAAAGCTACGTCTTTTTGTTTTCACCGTTGAAAATGGAGAGGAACTTTGTTTTCGAAATTGTTTTAGTTTTTTTCCTTTTGTTTTCTACGCAAAAAAGTTATTGTTCTAAAAAATTTCACATTTATGTTTGTTTGTAATTCATTTTTTGAGAAAACGGTTGTCGATTATGCCTAATTTACTATTTAACTTTCTACTCCTTTTTTATAGTTTTCTCATCTCATCACCTACAAGACACGACCTTAATTTGAAGAAAAAAGAAAAACCTTTTTTGTAGCTCTTTAGGAATGTGGTCGGAACGTTCTGTTCTGTGCTACTTGCCAAACAACCTTTTCTGTTTATAAATTTGGTATTGCCAGAAAAAATATATATTCAATGCAAGAAACTGGCGTTAATAGGCATTTGGGCAAGAAAATGGGCCGACGACAATCAAGTAGTATTATTATTTCATCACAAATTCTATTGCTAACAATTTTCTTTGCCACATTGCATCGATCATTATAGCGATGTGTTTAAATTGCGTTTGAAGTGATGATTAGTAGGAAAAAGTGTTGCTGAAATCATTTTTACTCGTTCTAATGAAGCGCCTTGCAAAGATAGTTTTTTCCTAATAATCTATTTTGAATGATACAAAAAGCAATGTCATTAATTTTGCTGCAATTTTCTTATAATATCTAGCTCGAGAGAGAAAATCACTTTTTTCTACTTTGTATGTTTCAAAGGCTAAAATTATGTCGAATTTTACTTAGTTTTGTCAAAAATTGACCAAAGATTCTCAGATTGCTGCTTAATTTTGACTTCCTGACTGAGTTATGTCGGCGAAAAGATTAAAACTACATGCTTCATTTCAGGTGTGTACATTTTAAGACCCATTTTGTTCCATTCAATGATTGTTTCGAAAATTTTGGAATGTGGAAATTTTAAATTGCATCAGGTTTTTTTTGTTCATTTCTGAATGAAGATGAAAATTGCTATCAACGATCATCCCCTTAAGCGTGAAATGTTTTCATAAGAAGGTGAATGTCTGATGTTTAATTAAAAGTGCAAATCCGTTAATCTTTCCCGGAAGAAAAGCGTCGAAAATTACCTTTTTAAGCGAAATTTAATCCCTATAGCCTCTGCGTTAATGAATCCACTTTTCTATTTGTTCAAACCTTTTTTCACTCTTGCTCTATTTCCTGACATTTTTTTGTTGTAGTACTTTCCAATTTTTCAAAATTTATCGATTTTTTTTCAAAAAATGTTTTTCTTCTGAAGCTTTATTACAAGTTTTAATTGCTAGCTACTTAATTTCGGTTTGTTGCGCGAGTGTTTATAAATTGTGCAAAAATATGGAAAATATTCAAAGTAATTTTGATGGTTCAAGTTGAGCGGTTTTGTGACATCTTTTCGAAAATGTTTGTTTTTTAATCATTGTCCCTATTTCGCAGATAGTGTCCTCAGGGATTTTTTCCTACTTTCTTACTTAGTTACCCCTAAACCTACTTTCAATATTAAAATTGGTGTGAGTGTTTAGATGCACGTAAAAAGTACACAAGTTGGAGCTAAATTGTATGAAAGCGTCCTGTTATGTTGTCGGTACTTACATAGGCGATAAACTAAAATTGACTACTAAATATACTCATCATACTGAATTATATAGGAAAAGTACTGAAGTTATTTGAAAATTGGGAAATTTGATATCTTTTTCTCTATTTCTCAGCCTTCCTAACTTTACCTAAATAGTGTAATTTTATCCTTTCTGACCAGAGTATTGTGCTTTATCTTCATTAAAAAGATATTTACGCAGCTATCATTTCATTTTTTGTGTGAAAAACCTCATTTTTTGGCTCAAAACGATTTCACCATCCATCTATGTCATTATTTTGTTGATTACCGTAATTTGCAAATTTGGGTTAAAAGTCTAAAAACTTAATGCATATCTAGCATTTTGCTCGAATTTTTTGTGTTTCATTTCATTTTTTTGAAGATTAATTAAACTGGAAATAAAAGGCAATAAAAATAGAACATTTTAAAAATGGATAATTGAACTGTTCGGTTAATTGTTTGTTATCATTGGAAATTCTTTACTAAATTTGTGCAGTTTATTGTAGAAACCGTATCTTTTGATCGCTGACCTTTTAGCACATAAAAACAGTTGTCGTTTTCCTAGTCTAAAACTTGATAATTCAGACTTTTCTTCAAACTCGTTTTATATACTTAGATTTATAAATTGACTGTGGAAAAATTGAGACCGTTTTACTTATAATCTCGATTGATTCAAGAGTTTTGCTGCTAAGTTGTCAAAATTATAGTATTGCTGTTGCTTTTGCTGTTAAAATCCGTCCGAATTTTTATTGATCGGCTTAAAAGTAATTTTCAATTTGTCATTCGTAGACGCTAGTCGTTTCTTATCCTCATCGTGCGTTAATGGATATGATTCTGACTACGCCTTCGCCTCTGAAGGTGTTGGTACCCATTAACAAAGTAAGTCTGAAAACTGACACTTTAACAACTATTTCCTTAAATGCTTAGCCCATAATTTACATCCAGTTCTTTCTAGTACTATTGCATATTTAAATCTATTTTCACATTCAACTATCCTCATTGTGTTTGTGTGAACAATTTTTGTGTTCAACCTGAAGATAGCAACAAGGTTGATGTTTCAGATGACGCGTGCAATTCAGGTGAAGCCAGCAGATCCCGAAAACAAAGGGGGTAAGTTCAATTTGTAATCAGTTCGTTTGTAATCAGTTATTTCATGTAATCACAAGATTTGGGTTTCGATACCCGCTAACTCCTATTTTTGAGCTATCTTAACTCCCACCATAAACTTGAAGTGGGAAGGTCTTCGTTATTGGGCGTGGCTGGCGGAGGGTCGAACGGGGTAGAGTTATTTGTTCAAAACAGTGATGCAGTGATGTCACAAGTCCCATACAAAAAAGTTTTGTTTATACACCAGTTATTCGGTTCTATACGACATCCATTTTCGGTCGACCGACTCTAATTTTTTTTCTTGCCATGATAATTTTGAAGGGTAGCGCGATCTCAAAAATCTGTTTCCGTTGCAGAAATAGGATCAAAATGGTGCTTAGGATAGCTCAAAAATCAATTTAATCAACCTAATTTTTTTTTTGAAAACTACTTCCCCCTCGAGAAAATCTTAGATCCGCTCCTGACTGAACATTATTTGGTTAAAAATCATCTAAAAACAATTTTCGCTGGGAATGATACTTGATATTTAACGAACATGTATTTTTCCCCAATGAAATGGATGCAAATTTTGTCTTGAAATGCTATTTGGTTCTGGCTCAAAGAAGATCGCAGGCGATGGGAGAAGGCTTTGCGGCGAATTAAGTTGACACTTTGGTAATTAACAGACTTGCCGTTGGCTGTCAATTTCCAATTACTTGTCGGTTTGATCAATCCGGTCTGAAAATTAACTCAATGTAACCCTGAGTTATATCTTACTACTAAAAAGTTATAATTCTGTGGCGGGCTAACAAGACGGGACAAAGATGGAAACCGGAAGCCAAAAAAGTCAGTTGAGTTAAATTATTTTTCAAAAGAGCTCGCTAGTTTTACGAAGACCTAACGGGGTTTCTGAAGTATTTCTGTTTCAATATTGTCATTTCAAAATTGTTTTTTTTTGTAATTTTAACAATTTGCATCCTGAGAGTCTGCTTTTTGTTTTTATAGAAAAAAATAAAGAAAGAATAAAATAAATAAAAAATAGAAAAAAAAATAAAATAAAGGAAAACTGTATAATAGCATGAATTTTAGTTATGAGCGTTTCATCTTTCCTTCTTAATTTGGAGATCATTTGATTAATTCAGCTAGTTACTTTATCTCCACGAAAAACTAGGTATATTAAATTGATCAATAATGTTTTAATAGTATTTTTTGTGCATGATCATTTTTTCCCCAATTATCTGACCCTACATTTTTCTATTTTTTAATTTCTTTTTTTTTCACTCCATGTTATATCGATTCAATTTTAATTCTACTCTTCCTTTATTAATCTGGACTTCACTTTTATTCACTTAATGACGTGTGCCCACTTTCGTCTGTTTTTGCACGTAAACTTGAAAGGGCTTTTGTTATCAAAGGACCAATTTCCCATCCTACTTCACATCACTTTTCAGTCTTCTATTTTGCAATTTTTTCGTTTTTTTTGCTGCAGATATAACACCCAAAATAGAGCAATAATAACAAGAATTAAAGCAGAAATACAAGAAAAAAGGGAAAATTATTCCAGAATTGAAGCAAAAATATGAGCGTAAATATTTTATTTTTCTGGATTAGTTCGTCAATCTTTTCTTCTATTTTATAGGAATATTGATAATGATATTATACTAAAAGATTATGACGAAAAGATAGAATTCAACAACATAACATACCTTACTAGAGCTGACACTAGGTCAGTTAGTGATTTGGTATTACTATTAGTTAGTATACCTTCCTTAGGGTTGAGTTTGGATTATACTTCACTATCAGTGACTTTTTTACTGTTGGCTCTTGTGCCGACTGTCCCTGTGAACAAGTTGACTTGTGAAGTAAAATAATGAATGAAGAAGATAGTATTCCCTCCAAATATTAACACTTTTTCCAGTCGTCATTTTCTGAAGTACTTACCTCTCGGGACCAGCCAACTTCTTTTTTCTATCTTGTAGCCCAATTTCAACCCTGTCTTATGCTATTTTTCACGCCTCCTCTCTAACATTGGGCTGTTGCATAATTACAAAAAAAACTTTTTCACAAAAAATCAAAGAAACAAATTATTTTTAAAAGCTAAAATGAACAAACTTTAATTTTATCCTCAACTTTGAATCTGAAATTGCGGCTCACATATATTATTTGTTGCTTTTTCGTAGTCGTAGTCTGATTATTTTCTTTTTGCAGGGATGAGCCTCACGTAGATATGATTGTTTACTTTATTGATTCCCAGAATAAACGCACTAAAAAGGTTATGAAAGTTATTTTCAGAGACCAAATTTTTTAGCCAGGATCACTTGTATTGCGAGAGTTTTTTACAATCGGTTTAATGTGAGCGTCTCTTCCCCAGTTATATTAAATATCACAAACAATAGATGAAACTTAAAAATTGATAACTTTCATGTACAAAATCGAGTTTCATTGTTACCGAACAAACGTCTTGAATAGTGATACAAAATTGTTAAGCACAAGTTTTTTTTCATTGAAAATGACAAAACTTTAGAATTACTCCCGTTGTTTTCCGATGCGACCGAAACAAAAGATAATTTTTTCGGGTGCAAATTTTATTCATTAGACGTTTTTCAAAAATCTCAGTATGTGATATTATGTCTGCCTCTAATTTATTGCCATTGCATTGCGTTGGTTCAGCACGACACTTGCAGCATCGATTTTATTTCTCAAATTTGTTCCCAAAGTTATCAATAAATTCGATCACATTTCCATTTTTGCTTGAAAAAAGTGAAAACAAAAATCTACTTATTGTTTATCTGTTCATTTAATTCAGTTACAATTATTTTCGAATTCCTTCAAACTTGTTTGTACAACATCGAAAAGAAATTTGATTGGGATATTTGTACGTTATTTTTAGTCTTGTGCGAGAGAAGCATTAATATATCAAAAATTCAAAATTTAACTGACTTCAAAATTCAAAAACTTCAGTTTCAAACAATTAACACAAGGACCGAGCATGGGTAAAAGTGTGATACATTTTTTGGTAGCTAAATTTGAAATTTGGTGAAATTTTTACTGTATTTTAATTCTGTCCTGTAGGTTCAGAAACAGAAAACAATATCCGGCCAATTGCCATTTTCAAAGTTCAATTTTCTACGCAATTGCTCCTCACTTTTCTGGTGATTTGGGCTTTAATATCCGGCAATAATCTACTGTTAACAGTGTCATTCTGCTTCTCTGCAGTGCAAATTGAAACCAACGACTTTTTGCTCAGAATTCTTAGCATTTTAGCTTGTCATTTAAAAAGAATTAGATTCAAGCTGTAGAATTAGAATCAAGCTTAGCTTATAGAGTTTTCAGTTCTAAATTAGTATTATTAGTTTTTTATTCTACATTTTTTTCGAAATGCTGACTTAGGTGTCTTTTTTTGTAAAAATCTCGAAAAAAATTCTTTAGTAAAGTATTTTTAGTTAAGTCAGGATAGGAATTAAGGTGGGGCTTCTGTGGTAAAAGTGAGTTTTTGGGTAATAATGAGGCGAAGTCATAAACGCGGGGATGTCTCGCGTGCGTTGGGACTAAGGTGGATAATAACATTGTTTTGAAGTTGATTAGATCATAATTTAGTCAAGATCACTTCTGCTTCGTCCCTGCACAAAATAGCTCAAAACTCTGGGTAAAAAATTTCAGCCTTCAATTTTTATTATCGAACTTAAAGCGCAGTGGATAGAAATACAATATAATTTTTACTTTGAATTCTTATAGAAAAATGAGAAGTGGCAGTTTTTTTGTTCAAACATATTTTAAAAAAAAATGTTTTTTTTTGTAAACATGCCCTATGTGTCTTTTAAGAAATGTTCGTATTTCTTAAAAGATATCATAAATTGCTCCATGTTTTTCCATACAGTCGATGAAGATTTCAATTTGCATATTTTCTAAATCAGCATTTTTAATGCGCCATATAACTCTTCGCTTATCCAACCAATGCATCAACCAACCACTGTCACACTAGTACATAGCCTGTTGTGGTTGTCGAGCACTGAGAAGTGAACAAATTACCCCCACTCTTTCACTTTTCGCCCCCGAAAACCAATTTATTACTCTCATCGCTCCTCAATTATTACCCATTTATCACTTTCAATTTCGTGCCAAACTCCGTCTTTCCAGTTTTATCTTAAAAACATAATTTTAACATTATTTTCAGCAAGAACTAGAATTTTTTTTGCACTCTAATTCCCCGAGGATTAAAAGATGGTAGGGCTCTGAAGTGAGAAGTAATAATGCTTTATGTATGTGGAGGTTTTATAAATGCAAATGAGTATAATTGAGTGAGTGATTTGCCCCAATTAAATATTCACTTTTCTCGCCTTTGGTCGCCCCGCTTTACAGCCCCACAGCTCAACAAACCATCAGACGTTGCTGTTTTACATTTCCCCGTACCCTGTTTTTCTCTTCATTACCAATCTGTTCTGTTCGCGTTTTCAATCACGTGGCTACGCTATCTTGTTACGTAATCGAGTTTCAAAGAAAACTGAAGCTGTCAAAAAAGCTTTAGTTAATTAATTGATATTTATTAAACGGAATTTCAGTTTGTTTGGAAGAATTTTTAATTTTAGCTCCTCGAAAATTGAACATAGCGATCTGTCCGTGTTGTTTCACTTGATAAATTAACCACTAAGTTTCTGCTTAAAATACTGGAGCGGCTCATCATCATCACTCATGTTTTTAGATAGGAGCTAGCATAACAACGTTATTAATTTGCATATCTGTCGCACTTAAACAGAAATTATTCTATCTACCTTGTTGGGAACGAACCCAAAAATTTTAAGGCTAGGGAAAAAAACAGATTACCTTAAGCGTTATGTTATCCCGTGGAACGCTACACATCTATGAAAATTTGTTTCGCTACCAGAAATTACTGTTATTAGTTGAAAACATTTAAATATAGCAAAATTTAGCTTTCAGCGATTTACATTCTTGGTTTTGTTAATTTTTGAAGTGCCTTTTCATTTGAATTATCATTACCAATTTCACAAATTTTTAGAAACTTGCTAGTAATTGGAGTTAAAGATGAGTTTGACAAATATATTCATTGACGATCCCAACAATAGTTTCATTAGCACCACCGCCAGAATAGCTGGTTGTAAGTAACGAAAGAAACCCTAGTCGTGTATAGCATTCATATTTCATTTTGGAGATATTTATTTTAGGGGCAGAGCTAGTATTCTGCCCTCAATTTTAGTATATATTGAGGCTGTAATGCACATCTTCCCCTCAGTTTTAATATTTTTTGAGGGAGTAATGACTATTTAAAAAATATAGATTTAAAATTAAATAAAATTGCTTAGGAAAATTATAAAATTGTTGGCATCAAAATAAAATTTTTCGAAAATATTTAGATTCTGCTGAAGTTTTTAAAAATTTTTCTGAAATCAGTTTTTCAGCAGTTGTTTGCCAATTTTGTATACATTTTGCAATTTTGAACAAGAAATTAAAAACAGTTTTTTCGGGATTGTCTATTTGCAAATGATTTGACACTAGTAAAATGGGTACTTTGGCGGCGGATCGAATCCCGCTCGGTCAATTTATTTTTTGAATTAAATTGATCGATTTAATAATTTACATTTTAACAAGGAGAGCCGGTTACTGTGCAAGTAGCACAGAATGCTCCGACCATAGTCTTTACAAAAATACAAAAAAAAAGTTTTTTTTAAATTTGTCGTTTTTTTCTGCGTGGTGTGATAGAAAAAATCTGAACGAAATAGAACTTAAGTATAATCGGCAGTCATAGCAAACTAGACCAATTGAAAAACCGTTTTTGTAGAAAAATGTGTAGAAAAACGAAAAAAAAAAGATAAAATTCTAAAATGTTTTCTTTATTTTTTTGCCGAAATTTTTTGAATTCTCGAAGTTTTTGGTTCCCAAAATGACTCTAAGAAAACACCAAAAGCCAACTTTAATTGTGTAAAATTATAATATCACCGCCTAAACTAAGCTTAAATTAGCTATTGTAGGCCTGCACGCTCTTAATAGCTCGAAATGAGACCAAAAACCAAAAGTTTGTAGGTTGTTCGAATCACGACTGAAAAGGTTTTTATAATGATCATTATTCTGATGATTATTTGTGGTTCCTGCTTTTGCGTGGAAAAAAAAAACTAAAACTGAATACAAAGTTCCTCCTTATTTTTCAAATGGTCGGAACTATAAGTTAATTTACTTAAAATTTACATTTGAATAAATTTAAATTTAAATCAAAGTTTAAATTAATGCAAATTGTTTTTATGGAAATTTTTTTTTGAAATGGTCGCCAAAAATGGGTGTCATGCAATAGTTAAGGGGTATCGTTCCACTCTCAATCCACATAAGTTTCCATTCAAGTTTTGATTTATTATAAATTATAAATTTATAAATTTTCAAAAAATATATAGTTTTTATATAATATATGTATTATTTAATATATGTATTATTTCAGCTGTTTTTTTTTTTGTAATTGACTTGTGTTTGTTCACTGATGTTTGTGTGGTGTTTAGATCGGAAGGTGTTTGTGGGCATGTTGGGAAAGACGCAGAACGAGGATGACCTGAAGAGTCTGTTTGGAGACTATGGTACCATAGAAGAGTGCACCATCCTCAGAGACACCAACGGACAGAGCAAAGGTAACATCAATAGCTCGTTCAATGAGTAATGGGGGATGTGGGAATACTAACAATTATGGTAATTTTGGGGTTTCGGCAGACCGCGAAAAGTTCGAAATGGCTAACCAAAAAAATTTGACAAATTATTTTCAAACACGTTCCTCACACCGTCAGAAAACTTTTTTAAGCAAACCACTGGGTGAATTATATATATTATTAATTAGATTTTGGTCCCATTAATGACAGTAGGGAGAAGCGATAAGCTTTGTCCTTGAGTAGTTTTTTTTCTAGTTTTTTTTCCTCACAAAACCAGGAATCTAAAATGATAATTGGAGTGAGTGAATGATAAACTGTCTTAGAGTCTTTTATGACATGATTCGAAATATTTTGATACGTGATTCGAATTAAATTTTTCAATGTCGGGAAAAACCGGTTTGAAAGTTTTTGCCTTTGATCAAATTTCGAGCCAGCAAAACCAGCTAGCTAGTAACGTTTTAGGATAAAAATGGTTATTTAAGCCGTGTAAATTTTTACTTTTACTTCCGAAGCTTCATTTAGTGCTTCCTTACTCCTAAATTTTTTTTTCAAAAAATCAATTTTTGAATACAACAGTAGTCGATTATGATTAAGTTCAAAACTTGAAGGATAGGGCTTTGCTCTTAGCAAAGCACGTATTAAAAACGGATCAAAGAAAAAAAAGTAGAAAAATGCAATGTAAAAGAATTAGTTGGTCATTAAAAAGAAAATTGTATTTGGGAACTATAGGCTTTTTCCCATAAACAACTTTTCTTATAAAATTGTAAGAAGTTGAAATTAATTTTTATTGATCCCTAGCACTTTCCAAGTCCGTAAGTACTTGGCCTGGTGTTAACGCGTTAGTCTCTGCCCCCTAATGTCTCGGATTTGAGTCCCGGTCGGACTTGGTTTTTCTTCAGTGTGTGAAATTGAAAATTATCAGGGAAAAAGTGAGTCGCTCAATTTGTCCTTATTGATTTCGGTTGATGTTTGCCGGCTTGATCATTTTTTTTGTATCGTTTGAAGGGCAAATAGTTAAGGTTGGTTGTGGTATAAATTTTCAATTTGATCGTTCAAAATTTTTCATGACAACCAATTTTTGACAGATTTTTTTGTGTTTTCGGCTCAATTTCGGCTCACGTGTTTTTGGCTGAGTGGTCGCATGATCAGTACTAAAAACTGTTTCTCAACTGTTTTTTTGAAATTGAATTTTTCTTTTTTTTAACTGCTATTTCCGTTTCTTTTTTGTTCGCTAGCTTGCAATGCTACGCCTTTGTTGAAGTGCAAGTGACGCTTCTCCTCTGCTTTTGAAAGTGGTCGGAGTTTATGTGTTACTTGCGCTCACAAGTTACACATAATTGTGCTCACAAGTTTCAAATTTTTTTCTGCAGAAGTTTATTTGAAGTTTTTGATTCCCAAATTAAGCATAAATAAGCTATTGTAAACGGCCTAAATTAAGCATGAATAAGCGTGCTTGCCGGCTTCACTCGTTCAATTTAGACAAAAAATCGAAATTTTCAGAACTTTTTTCAGAATTTTCTAAGGTCGTTCAAATCACGACTGAAAGAGGTTTTGTATGATATATCATTCAACTCTCTCCAATGCTTATTTGTGGTAGCTGATTTTGCGTGAAAAACAGAAAAAAATTGAAATACATCCGAATACAAGCTCTTCCGATTTTTCAAATGGTTTGCACAAAAACAGGCCGATTAGTTTTACTGTTCCAACCATTGAAAATGGGGAGGAACTTTGTATTCGGGTGAGTTTTAGTTTCTTTTTTCTTTGGTTTTCCATGCAAACTAAGGTACCGCAAATAATCTTTGAACTGGGTTGAGTGATATTTCATATTAAAGCCCTTTCAGTCGTGCTTTGAACCACATTAAAAAAAATTCCAAAATTTTTTTCTGGTGTCGAAAAAAACTGGTTTTAAATTTTTTTTTTTCGTCTTATTTCGAAAAAGTGGTCTGGTTTTTTTTATGCTTAATTGAAGGCTGGAAAAGTAAGATCTATTCGAGTAAAGTTAGTTTTCAGCGCCCTACTAGGTATCAAAAAGATCGAAAATCTCAAGAAATAAAATTTGAAAAATTTCAAAAAAAAAAACACTACCATTTTTTTTTCGTTGTTCTAGTAATTTTTCAGTTTTTCGAAACTTTTATTTAAAATTGCCTGTTTTACTATGACTCTCAAATATGCTGAAGTTCTAGTTTTTCGTTCAGATCCTTTTATCACACCACGCAGAAAAAAAAACGAAACTAATTTGAAAAAAAAAATTATTAAGACTGTGGTCAAAAAATTGCACAGTAACCGGCTAATTGCACAGTAACAGGCTATCCTTGGTATCAGTTTCTTTTTTGATGTAGAGAAAAAACCGTTTTGCACCGTAAGCTGTTTTCTGTAGTATTGACTCACAGAGTATGATAATTGATAATTATCCAATATTATTCAAACATTAAATTTTACCGATAGACTGACAAAAAATAATAAAGCCGACTCGTCAATACAGCCAGCATGACGAATATTAGAATGAAGTGTGAAGTGGTAGTCCAGCTTTCTTTAGTGTGGAAACAGTGATGAAATATCAGCAAATCGACAGATCAGCAAGCCTAATTTTTAATTTGTAGTTAGCCGAAAAAAAACTGATGTAAAAGTATACGGAAAAATGAAAATATATCTATCTATAAAGCGAAGTTTTTTTGACAAAAATAGGTGTAAATTGGATTTTCTGAGGTTGTTTTTAGGTATAATTCTGCATGAATAAAGTGTAGGAGCCCAGTTAAATTGAAATTGAAGTATTGTTTCTAGCTATGTATTGAGAAAAAAGACAAGGTTAGACCCCATAATGAAGAGGGAAAATTAGATGTTGTCCTAATTGAAATTCATCGTATTAAATAGTGGGCGGTGATAAAAAACTGGTGAATTTCGCTCGTTAAGCAATTGGTCGTTGTGTAATTATTGGGGAGCATCGATCGGAAGTGTGAACAATTGGGAGTTTTCAGTTACTTCTTTTCAACCTTGGCAATTTTGGTCACGACCCAGTGGCGCCCTTGCATATTTTGGTGCTCATTGTTTGTTATTGCTCCTGTGATGTGTTATAATTTACCCTGGCTGTAGGGAAATTAGAGCCCGCAAATGTGTTGAAAAACGGTAATCTTCGCCCTCCAGATTTTTAGCACTCTCTCTTTTCACTTTTCATTATTTATCGCTCTTTTCCTTGCCCTGAAGCTGAAATAGCTCGTTCACGTATGGTGCTTACTCTTATTTTTAAAGCTCATTTTAGTCATTATTGAGCAATTAATTACGAGGAAACGCCAAATTACTCCAAAAGACTATACTTAAAAAATATTTATCTAAAAATGAGCTCATTCATTCTACTATTAAGGCACTGATATTTCCCCCAATTTACAGTAGAATAGATTTTTTTCAGAGCCTGATTTCCAATTATTTGCACTACGCCGGTCTTATTCAGTTTAATGAGAAAAAAAACGTAGTCTTTATAGTCTTTTTTGCTTAATAATGCGTGACGTTTTCACCATGTTGAAAAAAAAATTAACTTGAGAAGCTTGTGACATTTTTCATTTTTGTCAAATGATTAAAAACGGGCGTAACGCTGAAATTGATTGCTGCAGTTAAGCACAATTTGTTGTGAATGTGTTTCGGAAATAATATGCCGGCAGACAAGCAAATATTAGTAAAACTTTCCTGCTTGCTATTGCTTATTATTGGTACGAAATTTCATCATTAAAATAAAAAGATAATTAGTCTTGCGCCCTTTTGTTTCAAAATTGCTATCATTATAAACGGTAAAAGCTATTGTATATCACAATTTCTCAAAATTTAACGAATTGGTCTGACAATGAGTGCCCAAAAAGGTAATATTTTTGTCTGTTTTTGTAATAAAATATTTGCCCAATCCGGTATTCAGAAAAAAGTTATTAGTTCAGAATGAAAACCACATTTAAAAAAGTTGCAATAAGAGTTTGCTAATTTTCTCAACCTTTAATAATAAATTAGTCACCAAAAATTTTCTTTTTTCGAACTTGAAAATTTTAATCTAAGTTTTCGACGCCAAAATACACTAAATTAGCGGTGAAGAGTTTTTTTAGAGAAAAATTTCCCAAAATTGGCCGACTAAAAGGGTTTTAATATGATATATCTCGACCTCGTACGATGGATGTGTCTTTTCAACTGCTAAGTAACCTTGGATCTATGAACTAAGTAAATTTTTCATGAAACAACGATATTGCAGTTTATGCATAATAATTGGCATCTTTCGCTTTTGAGTCCACGGTTATTGATTTCAGAGTCTCGGGGTAAGAATAGGATCGATTTTCAGTTCATTAGAGTCTCATTACACTGCCTTGCATAATCGAATACGTTTCACCAGTAACTCGATACCCGTCATTTTAGTTCAACCAGTCAAAAATACTGTTTATAACTTAAAATTAATTTTTACTTGCAAAACCATATCAATCTGGTTACGTGTGAAATAGTGTAAGTGTTTTCGAAATGGTTTCAAGTTGCTTTTTTGGCTCAACAAATGTATTACTTTTTAAATAGTAGCTTTTCTTTACTTTTGAAAAAAAATCGATTAGAAATTCAATTTGCATTTTTTTGGGATTTTTAATGGTATGTGAAGTTATATGAAGAATAATGTTTTGTTCAGGTTGCGCCTTCATCAAGTTCAAGGAACACGGAGAGGCAGTCAAGTCCATAGAGAAGATCCACGGCACCAGGACCATGCCGGTGAGTAATTTGTACTCTCTCTAACTTTTTACTTTTCTCGTCGAGGCAAGTCGCCATGTTTATTTTCCGAGAAAAAGACGCAGAGATTCTTTCAAAATTAGTGTATCGCGAGAAATGTTGTTTTTCCAATTTTGCTGTCCATTTTTTTTTTTTTTTTTCGGATTTCTTTTTAAATTTTTCAGATTCTTAATATTTTCTTACTAAATCATTGTGGTTGGAGCATTCTATGCAACTTGCACATCAACAGGCTATCCTCGTTACAAATGTACTTTTAGTTTATATATTTTTTCGATTTGCAGAATTGGAACTAGGTCTTCGTTTGTAATTGCAAATAGCATCTTTCGTTTACAGCCTGTCAGTTACATTTCCGCCGTCTGAAATTCCACCCTGTAGGTTTTACTCCACCAAAAGTGTGCGGCTGTTAATTGCTGTTCCACTTTGTTGGGCTTACGTTTGCGAACTTTTACTGACTTACTTATGAGAGATGGGATTGTTAAATGCAGCCTCATTTTTCTGTAAAAAACAATTCAAATATATCTTTTGCCTAAATTTTTTTAAGCACTCCATCGTTGCTTGTGAAACTTCAACTGGAGTCATGCGTTTCATTGGAATTGAAAATTCTCGCAAAAAATCTGAAAGCTCCGGAAAATGTAAAAAATGAATATTTACTATTCGTCCTCTCCGTTGGTTAGTCATTTGTTTGGTTAATTAATGACTTCGCTGGGTTTCTGAATGATTAATGACAATTCTAAATAGGCTGGATGTATAAATTAGCTCCACTAGCAACGAGGGCGGAAAGAATTCAGAAAATGTCGAAATATGAGATTTATCCCTTTTGTTGTACTGAAGAAAAAGCTGCTCACATTACCAGCCCTTTTTTGCAGTCATAGAAATTCATGAATGAAATACTTTTACCTGAAATGTTTTCAACTTTGACAATTGAATAACTTCAGCCTTCAACGGGAAGGTACTTTTTTACATTTTTCTTTTTTTTTGTACTTGAAACTATGCAATTACTTGTTATTTTCTATATTGCCATCCCAATAAATAGGAAATTGCAAGTTTGGGGGGTTGGTCTGAGAACATGTGTTATAAACTAGAACTGCTAATATAAATTTTAATTCGGTAGCTAATACTTTTGATAATAAATCTAATACTAGTCAGCCCGTTGAGTGTACATTTAGCTAATGGTATTATAAAAATGTAAATACTTTTCCGTTCCCTGTTGTTTTGCGACTTCTGCTGTTTTTCTTCTTTTTGTGCCTCTTCAATTTTTTTCTCATTTCTTTTTCAAAATTGGCCCATTTTCTTTCCCTCTTTTAGCTCTGATGAGGCTATTAACTACACAAAAATCAACAAGAGACGAGTCAGTTATAAACATATAATAACTACCAGTTAGTTATTTTTGTTGAAATTTGCCAACTTTTGCTCCCATTGTTGAGCAACAATCATTTTTGCAGCCATTTCTTCACTTAATACCGTTTTTGTTGCCCCCTCTCACTATATTAGCTAGCAGTTTCCTTTTAAAGGATTCGTTCTATTCTAACAATCAAAAAGCTTTTTTTAATTAGAAAAACTATCAGTAATTGCTCATTTGTCAAACTTTATTTTGAATCATTTTGCTAAAGTTCTTCTTAAATAATAGTTACTTAGAATCCCTCCGCTCAAAAGAAATTGGTCTTGCTCAAAATTAGGTAAATGCATTTTTCTGTCGCTGTTTCGCTCTAAAAATTACCAAATTTGTCTAAAAATGTCGAGATAATCAAAAGCGTGTCCTGCTTATAACAGATACCACCACCAAATTAAAACAATATCACTCTCGCTGCAGACTCGAATCTTGGTCACTGAAGTACATCGCTTCCGCGCTGACTAGAGATTACTTCTTAATTAGGCCATTTTTTAACGGATCAAACTCAAAATCAGAAGTGATTTTTCCGTTTTCACCACAATTTGAAAATTCTTATTTTTTATTTTAATAAATTTCTACATCTTTGGCGGCAATGTGTAATTGCGTGTATGCTTCAATTTGACTGATTGATAATAAAACTAGTTGAATTAATCATTTTTCACTTTGTTATTGCTTCCCGCTTTGCATTAACCTGTTCTTTTTCACATTTCTTGATTTATTATTGCAATATTTCGCTGTAACTTAATAAAATTCAGCACTGTTCTTGTCTGATTATCAATAATTTATCGCAACTTCAATTTTCATCTCGTGCAATTCTAACTTTTTGCTGTAAATTTAATGCACCATTTTGTTTTTATCGTCCCCTGTTTCCAAGTTACAACTATTCTGTTTGTTAACTTCATTTTAAAACTTTTGTTCACTTTTTGTTCCTCTGAAAAACAATTCAACAGCTCAAGTTCCGTTTTGGCACGGCAAAAACCTAGTGTATAAACGATTCAATTGAACCATTTCCTCTCAGCTTCTGCAAACTTCTCTTTTTTATACATTAGTTGACAAATATTTTAACGTTCACCCCAAGTAAGCGCAATTTTTAATTTTTTTTCTAATGAACTTAAGAACCCGCTTATCGTCTTAAAAACCAAAAACGTTGACTTTTTTTTTTACTTCAGTTGAGCTTCAATATTAGAGTTTCGTTTTATTGTTCAATTCTAAACTAATTCGATTTTTTATTGGTTTTTCATCCAAAATTTGAGTTGATTTGAAAGAAGAAAACTTGTTTCAGGGAGCTTCGTCTAGCATCGTGGTGAAATTCGCAGACACTGAAAGAGAGCGAGCAATAAGGAAGATGCAGCAACACTTCAACGCCCAGATGTCCGGCATGGCAGCTGCCGCTTCGGCCAACAGTCCAGCTGCGCCAGGTGCCAATCCTCTTCTGGCTGCGCAATACGCCACCGCATACTCTCAGGTCAGTTTGGGAACAATATACATAATTGTCAATTCTGATTTTTTGGATGCTCCAGTTATGGAAATATTTTTTTATAAATGGATCCGCTATCGTAAGATCATCCAAAAAATGTTCAGGAACATATAAATATGACAATTTTTCTTCAATTAAAACTATTCTGAAGCCTGATCACTATTTAGAGAATCCTTCTTGGTGCTATAAACTGAAAATTACTATGCGTATATAAAGCTCTTATCTCAAGACTTATATTTTCAAGCTCAAAGCGACATACTGAGAGTCGAATTTTGGAGCTGAAAAGAGCAGCTACTTCTGAAGTGACTTGTGGTGTTCCGCAAGGTATTGTAAAATGTGGTGTTCCGCAAGGCGCTGTACTGTTTTGTACGATTCCTCCTTCCGTGTATATTTGTACTTGTTTTACAGTTAAATTTGGCCGAATTATTTTATAAAAATAGAAATGGTTTATGTAATTGAAAGTAATTTAGTGTCTCAAATGAGTTCGGCCAAATTGAAGGCCAGTTTTAAGTGTCCCATCATTTTCGTATTTGGTTAATTTGAATGTCATCAGTCGGTATAGAATTATGTTGTCTTAGTGTTTTCCAGTCATATTCAGTGCCGTCATTTACTGACGTATTACGTATTAGTTGACCGCGAGCCCTCACTAAAAGTAATTACAGACATGCGCTTTTGTTACCTGTACTCCGAAGACCATGTTTTAAAATGCTCAATGTGTATTATGTTTCGTGCCGATGTGAACAAATATTTTTTAAAATTGGTTATCGAGATAACGGTTTTGGGCGGATGAAAGTGGCGAGCTTCATATTTCGCACAATTTGGCTCTAATTCCAGTTTTGAGCTATTTTGCCCAATTTTTGTGCCCCTATTTATATTTGCACAATTCACTCTTACAGTCAGTGTTGAAAATTATTGCAACCTCTAGTGTTCACCAGAAAAATGAATGAAAACGTTTGTACATTTTTGTCGTTTTCTCGGGAGCAGTACACGATATCGGGTCTAAACATTGACTCAGGTCAGATAAAAGTAATTGAAAGGGTCTGGCCTTATCAAACTTGAAGAATTTTGTTTTAGAGCTGTTATAAATCAGTCAATCATGATTAGTTTCAGAGGTTGTTATGGAAACATCACGGCGAACAATTTATTGAATTTTAGTGTTAGACTCAAAATTATATATTGGGAAGCGTATAAGTTTGGCTTGGTCCTTATTCCGTAAAAACAAAGAAAAAAGGAGATGAAAAAAAAAAGATTAGAATGGCGGCGAAAATTGAAGAGGACTTCTTTTTGACAACTATGAAGTTTTTATGTCGTATTCGCCAAAATGAAATGACACAAAAAAATCAAGTGGACTTGCTAATGCATAAAGCAGCCATCAAAAGTTATCTTGGATGATTTTTTAGTTCCGACCAGATGAAAAATGGGGAGGAACTTAGTATTCTGGTGTTTTAATTTTTTTCCTTTTGTTTTCCATGCAAAATCAGGTATCACAAATAATTATGGAAATGCGTCGAATGATATATCTTTTGAAGCCTTTTCAGTCGTAAATCGAACAATATAAAATAATTTTCAAAAAATTGTCTAAGTATCGAGAAAAACTGGTTTAAAAATTTTGATTTTTAGTTTAAATTTGAGCGTGCAGACTTACAATACCTTAGTTTTGTTTAATTTAGGCCATGAAAACATAGTTTTACTCAAGTAAATTTGTTTTTGAATTTTTTTTAGCGCAATTTGGAAATTAAAAACTTCGGATGCTTGAAAAAATTTTTGGATGTTTTTCAAAATATATATTTTTCGTTTCCTAGTCATTTTTTAAAAACTTTTGCTTATTTTACTATGACTGTAGAACATTCCTTAGTACCAGTTTTTCGTTCAGATCTTTTTATTCCGCCACGCAGAAACAAAACGACAATTGTTAAATTTTTCTTTGGCTATGTTCAGAACATTCTGTGCTACTTGCAAAGTAACCGGTTATCCTTGAGTGATTCTGGAATTATCGGCTAGGGCATAAAAGTTTCATTCTCGTTAAAAGAATTAGTCTTCATTTTTTTACTCCTGGCTCAGGCAGTTGTTTTCTTTTCTTTTATCCGTAGTTTCTACGCACATATGGGCCAAGGCAAACTTTCAATCGGTCAGACTCTCTTAATTAATTTCAGCGGTCACATGTCAAAGTTTCACCCTAATATCTCATATGCTCACTGAACTGAGAAAACGGGCAAAAATAATTGTTCATTTTGCGGTTGAAAACAAGTTTGCAATAACTTTGAACGTTGACTGCATGTTTCCGCATTTCGCCCTTAAATATTATCACGCGATCCACTTGGCGTTTATTTTAGTTTTTTAAAACATCATGTCACCGATGCATTACCGTTTTGTGGTTAAGGCAGTCCATTAATATAGCTACGATAGAAATTTTATGTGTTTCAAAAACGGGGCAAAGTGTTTGAATACCTATTTTTGCCATAATAGCGTGCCAGTTTTTGATGTGTGGTAAGGTTTTTTTAAAACTAATGAGCGCATTTTTCAGTCTTTGCTCATACATATACTACTAATTTGAAGCCAGCAAATTGTTTCAATTAAATCATAAAATAGACACATCTTACACCGATAGTTTAAGTCAGACGAATTGAGACTGTTCACTAAAATTTGCAGTTCTAAAGCAACCTTAAGCAAGATCCGAAAACTAAACTTTAATCCGAAAGCTATAAACTAGTTGAAGTTATCGTTGAAACTTAACAGGGTTTTGACCTGCTATTAGATAATTTTTTGTTATGTTCCTACGTTCGCAGACATCGATAATATGAGCAGACATGAGAACAAAAAATTCTTATATTTCAAATACCTAGTTCTGACGGTTTCTTTAAAAGTAAATCTCATCGGAAAAAAATCACTGCTCTGAACTCATATTTTAAAGAATATTTCATCGGCCATCATTTTAAGTTATGGCAAAAAAATCAAAAATTTTAAACCGGTTTCTCTTTACGCTGAGGGTTTTTTGGAAGTTTTTTTTACAAGGGATCGAATCAAAACTGCAAGGGCTTTAATATAATATATCCTCGACTCCTTCCGACGATTATTTGTGGTACCTGATTTTGCGTGGAAAAAGAAACACTTAAAGCCGAAGTTCCTCCTCACTTTCAGAGGTCAGAACAAAAAGTGTTTAACCTTATTTATTTTATTTATTAATAGGCGCGAAAAAATTCTTTTCTGCGTATTTTAGAGAAGGGGAGATAATATAAATGTCTTTTCGTTTTCTGAATATTGTTAACAAAGAACTAATGCATATACCATGAAAGGCAGTCGAAAGATGAGAGTTTGTCCTGATACGAGTAGTTTTTTTTTAGAATATTTACGAAGCATTTATTTAATTGCTGCCGTTTGCCGCTGGCGACTGTCGTACATTTTATGCATTTAAGGTGTTCGATGTTATATTTAGTCGTTCCACAGTTGGAAGCAGTTTGATGTCGTGTTTAAACTATTAAATATTCTTCAATCCTGCTACAGCTCAGGTTTTTCAAACTAGTGTGAAATAATGTGAACAAAACGTGCCACATTTGAGATATTTTTAAATCCAAAATAAAGAAAATGGAAATTGTGAATGACTTCTTGTAGAATTTTTTGAATAAACTGATAAATTTTACATGGCGATATATGGGCAAAGTTTTGGGGTAAAGCAACAAAAAATTTGAAACCTTTTTTTATTCTAATGCAGAGTCTTATCTCGTCAGTTTTGATTTTGGTTTAAATTTTCTGTTTCATGTTTCTCGGAGACAGTCGTGGTGCACGACTCCGATTAAATGTTTATTATTTTGTTGTTTTTTGATTATTAGTTAGCTCACCAGTTATTTCTAATAAATTAGAGGTGTGTGTGTTTCAGTTGGCCCAGCAGCAACAGCAGCAGATTTTGGCGGCTGCAGCTGCCGGAGGTTCCTACTACTCGCCATCTGGAACTCCTGGAAGCGTGAACGGACTGGCCTCGCCCGCTTGTTCAGTCACTCCAAACGGTAAGTTCAGATATGACGCTGCAATATTTATATTCACCTAAAAGGTACAGATGTCCAAGGATAGAGTGATTTTTATAGACTGCTATTTGTTAACTACAATAAATACTAAAACCTTCCTGACGTGTGCAAAATTCAGGTGCATTATTTATGTAGGTGCAACGCAAAAACCAGCCTAAAATTAAAAGATTCAAGGGCCAAGATTACCTGTCAGTCCTGAAGATCTTTAAAAGAAAATAAGCTAAAATCGATGGTTAAATATGAAATTGCTTTGCCTTCACTTGACCATCATTAGGTTTATTGTTCTAGCCTCTCCGTGCTTGTTGTTTGAAGTACTATTCTCTCGCCCAAAAAGTTCACAAGGTAGTTAAAAGTTGAACAACACATCATTTTTGTCAGATGAAAATAAAGGTAGGCTAAATGAAGACCTTCATTGTTAACTTTTTGGGCTGAAGAATAATACTTCAAGTAAAAATGGCAATTTTTGGAGGTTGCGAAAACTGAAAAAAACTACTCGGTTCGCTTATGTTCATTTATTTGCCTTTTTTGTGTCAGCTATCTTTTGATTGAAAGCCGTCAATTTCCGAGAGTACACGTTTTTGAGATTATGATTAGATAGAAGTCGTTTATTTTGCGATTGTGATTAGATAGAAGAAGTCCTCCATTGCTGTTTTTAAAGATAACTTCAGTATCGGTTTTATATCAGCTAACAAAAGAAGAAAACGGTTGTTTAAAACGTCAAAGTTATTCGCTTTTCCTCTCTCTGTTGTCTAACAAAATGTTTGCAGTTTTTTTACCTTGCAAGTAATTGATGTCTTTAATAATCACCGCAAAAAAGTCAGTTGAGCAAAATATTGCCTTTTTTAAACAGCAAACAGTCACTTTTTCTTAACGTAGGGGTAGGAATAGTTTATCTCTAATGAGGCTCCAAATAGCTCTTGGCTGACAAAGAAAGTTGAAAACTCAATTTTTGACAAATTCTTCAGCAATTGTTAGTTTGTTTTTAACGATTGTTTATTTGTTTTGTATGGTAGGGCTAATTGGACCGCACCACCAATTGGGCTCGGGGTTGCGTGGAATCCATCATAATTTGCCCAACGGAAGTCCGATTCAAGTCCACAACAACCACAACAATCAACAACACGCGTCACCCAACACTAATTCGCCAACTGACAAAACTTCTACCTGTTCTGGTAAGTTTAAAAGCCACATTTTTCAATATTTATTTAAAGATTGTTCTATGATTATAAAATTCGAATGAAATTGTAAACAAAATGCATTTTGTAACGTTTTAAGAAAAAAATGTGCCGAGTTTTCAACATTTAAGTACAGATAAAAGTTATTTTGTGCAAACGATCTGGTTTATAAAAGTGTGAATAAAACTAAATTGTAATGCTTAAGAGTGGGCAACGATGGGTGAACAGTTTTCGACATTTTTAGTCTTCGCATTTTCGAAATGTTTTCTATTTCGCCATCATCTTTTGTCAAATTTTACCAATGTGATAACTTTTGACAAATTTTATTTTTGAACAGAGTACCAAAGCTTTCCTCATTCATTATAAAATAGACTATCGCTGTTTTATGAATAATATTATAATGTTGATTGGTTCCAGACGAGGCAAACAACAACACGAGTAGTTCATCTGGAGCAGTGCCCAATGGGGTTCTGATGTCGGCGGTGTCTGGTGCAGCTCCCACTTCAGTTGTCGCCACGGGACCCCAACATCCACCCTCCTCGTTCCAACATCAACAGGCCAATCACCACCAACATCACCCCAGTAACAGTCCCGCAGCTCAGAACCAGCCCCTGTTGTACCACCCATCTCAACTGGCCGCTTCCGCTACACTCCCCGAAATAAGTAAGACAACAAAAGCTAAACTCGTCCTTGTTCATTTGTTCAGGTTGATGTTACGGCTGTTAATTGGCTCAGTTTGTTTAAAGCGTAGATGATACTAGTGCTATTGGGCACACTTGGATATTATTTTCTCTATCTATTATCTCGTCCTGTCTTGATGCTTTTTTTCCGAGTAATGGTGCGCGTAAACAGGAATTAGAAGATTTTTTTCGTTGTTTTTCTGAAAGAAGTGACCAAATTTAATCAGGCGAGTTCAACGCCTTCAAAGTTGGTATAATTTTACTTTTTCAACTTCCTTATGTTTCAAATTACCAAAAAATAGTTAACCGTTAATTTTTGAAGTTCAGACAACTTCGAATCTCATCTTTGAAAGCTAATACAAACAATTTTTCAAGTCTGATTACTGTTTCAACTTTTTTCGTGTCCTAAATAAAAACATCTACGAGCTTATTAGGGTGTTAATAATAGATCAAGGAGAACCTTGATGCAGCTCGTTTGCTCATAGGCACGCCATGTGACTGAAAAAGGTTTTCATTTCAGCAATTGAATTATTTTATCAGACCTAATTAAGAAGCGCCTGCTTAGTCATGAGCGAAATAGAGGGGAAATTCTATCAAAGTCAGAAATGCGAAACCACGTTTTGACGAAATGATGCGAAATCTGTTGAATTTTTAGAGCAAAAAAGAATTTAGCGCAAATTTTAGAAACCGCTCTTGAAGGTACACGTTGCAATTTTTGTTATCTGAGCATCACTTCATTTTATCACATTTTCTTTCTCTTCAGAACATATGTAGTTACTTGAGTACAAATAAACTTTGTTTTTTATTCTCTCCCAAGATATATAACCATTTTACTTTACATTTTGTCCCAATTTGTTTACTACTCATTTTAAAAAACTTCATTTTAAACATCTCAATTTTGAAGTTTTGCAGTTTTCACCGTTTTTGGTTTAGATAGATCAGTTTTTTCTACTATAAAAAAGCATTATTGATGAAGCTAGATTTGCTAAGAAGCTAATGAGCTCATTTTTTTTCTACGTTAGTTTTATAAAAATGTAGAATTCCAACTTAGTAGAAACCAATTTTTATTGAAGCTAGTTATTTTTTTTTAAAGTTAGAAGTTATAACTAGTGATGTACATGACAATGAATGTTGACGGAGCCCTAATTTCAGTGGCGGCGTCACACGGAATCTCATTGGCCGAACTGCAGCAGGCGGCACTCTTGCAGCAAGCAGCACTCACCGGAATGCCAATTGGTAAGTCTAACAATTGTCGGTGCTCATAGCAATAGCCATTATGAAAGATGGGTCCATTACGAAAACCAGTATTGAAAATGGATCCACCAAGCGCATGTTACCATAACGACACATAATTTTAGGACTCATCTTTCAGAGAGCCTACTATGATACTTGCACCCGAGAACCAAAATTCATAAGAATTCGATGTGCCCGATTAGATTAAAGCACGTATATTAGCCTTTTTTTCGCTTCTAACTTCAAAAGTATCACTATATCCTTGTATGTTTATGTTTGTAAGGTACAGCTAAGCAGATTCTAATATTGAAAAAATGTAGCCCCAAGCAAATAGCTCTTTTTCAGTGATATTTTATTCTGAAGCCTTGCATTTCTACTAAGCACTCGGGGGAAATAAAATTTGGTTGCATGAGTAATCAGATTTTGATTTTTTTTCGGCTCAATTATCTAAAACTTTGGAGAAACTCACATGGGGTAAAATTTAACGCAACTCATTTTACGTGCATGACCAAAGCTCATAGATGTATTTTCTTAAACTATCTTTTCTGGATAGATTCGCAACTATACCTTAACGAATGTTGAGTTTACATAATCATAAACTTCATCACTTACACCATCAATGACGTAAACTAAACTAGGGTTCTAAATGTTGTTGTTTGTGTGCAGAAATCATCCAGCAGTTACTTGTAGGGCAGCTCGGCCTAGCCCAGGTGCAGAGCACGCCATTCAGGTTTGTAAACAACCACAACAACATGAAATAAACACTAACTATTAACCAACTGTTCAAGTTATTTTGTGCCAGTTAACTTAATCTGTTGAAACGTTTTAAATTGTTAAACGATTGTTTAAATGACGCTTTTGTACAGTATTGTCATAAATGGTTTTATTTGAAAAAAAACCGTTGTCACGTGGATATTCTAGGTTTTTTTTGGTTCCTTTTTTTGAGTTTTTTCCTTAAAATACAAGAGTATTACTCAATGTGTAGGTTTTTTCCTCTTCAATATTGACAATATATCAGTAGTTTTAAAAAAAATTAGCCTTTTTAACCAAATTTATTTGAAAAAATTCATACTTCAAGTCAATCATTGTTCGGACAGTTATTCCATCCTTTCCGTTAAAGTGATTTACTAATTAAAACTGATGTCAAATTGTGAAGTCAACGTCCTGTGTCCTCTGGAAACTGAAACTGAGGTTCAAACTTTAGCCTCAAATCATTTGGGTTGTCAAGTGAAGCGTTGTTTGCTCTTTTAACACTGGTATTATGTCATTGTCATTGTCTACATGGTTATATTATAATTCATTGCCAAGCGTTTGTTAAATTTTACTTTTCAAAACAAAACTCATTAATTTTGCTAAGTTCGATTAAATGCGCTCAAAAGCGTGGAAAAAAGTGAAAATAATAAATTTAAAAAACTGAAGTTTTTTAAAAATCATTTTCGAAATGGTTTTTGTTAATAATTTAGAAAGTATAGATTTTTTCTAATTATTTCGGAGGCAAATTCTTGGCATTTGAAACATTTTAGATTTAGAAAAAAAAGATTAAGGCGTTTGCGTTGTTTTGTTTCAGTTCCTACGGGGGGAGCAACTTCTTACCAGCAGCAGCAATTGGCAACGGCGCAGCTTTTGGCGGTGGCTGCTTCATCCCCACCAACGGGGGCGGGGGCAACCACGCAGCAGCCGGGGGCTCCCCAAACACCGCCGGGGGCGGGGGCCAACCATCACTTGCAGCTATCGCCGCATTCCAGCAGCAGCTCTCAGCACCCCAGCCCTCAGCATCACAACCACCAATTGATGGCAGCTTTGATCCAGCATCAGCAATCTCAGCAGCAGCAGCAGGTACCTTAACCACTATCAACTTTTCAGTCGTTTTTTGCTCCAACCACTGTCGAAAGGGGGCACCAGCTATGGTCTAGTGTGGGTTTTTTGCCAAATCAGCTAACTCAAAGTATTCTCGTAGAGTCGAATGTAGTATCATATTTAAAGCCATATCAGTTTTTTGTACTATTAAATGAAGCTTTGCAATATCTTATGTAGTTAGAACGTTTTGTAATATTACTTTTATTTGGCTTTTTTGTAGGTTGTGGCGGCGCAGGCGCAGCAGCAGCAGCAATTGGTGGTTGCGGCCCAATGTCAGCAGGCGCAGCTGGCGGCCTCCATGCAGCAGGCGGCAGTCATGCAGGCGGCGGCCGCGTCCTTGGCGGGACACCAGGCGGCGACGGTTGCGGCAGCTCAGGCCCAGGCAGCAGCAGTGGCTCAGGCCCAGGCTGCGGCCCATCTGCCCTCCCAACAGCGAGAGGGTGAGTCATGCAATCACATGAGTCATTCTTTAATTCACACATTACTCCTTATGATTACGTCATCAAACTACTGTATTGACTGACCCACTTTACAATGATTAATCATTAAACCGTCAACGAATCTTTTTACCACCAGTATAATTTTTTGCTCGAACCTTAAACTGAATACTGAATCCTGTAATGTTAAATTCTGAATTCTCCATTGTACATTTTGGACTCTACTTGGTTTTCATTTCAATACATAACTGTGTAAAACCGCGGGTCAAACTTCAATGTTGAATTTGTGAGAATAGAATAGGTGAGGGTAGTAAAAAGGTCGTTGACGGTGTCTTATTGAAATTGATGGACTTCTTATGTCCCAACAAGAGTTAAGTGCTAGCCTGCTCCAGAAAGACAATTTTGAAAACTATCTGTTTGGAGTAAGTTGATACTTGTTTGTGATTGTTATATAACATAAACAGTTGCATAACAAGCCTGTAATATATGACATAATGGCAACTTCAAGGCGGTGCAAAGCAAAATAATATCTGAAGATTTTTTGTGGTTGAGAAACAAATTATTCTAGATTTTTTCGAACTTATTTTCCATTAGAAAACAGCTAAACAGATGATATAAGGCGTTTGTAGAAAAAATTGAAGATGGTTTAATTGTATTTAAAATGGCTGCCAATTCTGACAGATTTTTCCTTAGATGGTTTTTGTTACTATTAAAAAAACGAACTATAAATTAACCGATTTCTAACCAGAAGGGGTTGTAAACTATTGTGTACTGTGTGATTGTAGGGGTGCTTTGTCAGTCAAATCGTGCAAGTATGTGTACACTATCATCCAATCATATCTCATCCATCTCTCTTGCTTCTCGGGAGGGGGCTGGGGTTGAAAGAAGCGAGAGAGATACGGTCAGATGAGCTTAAATCCCCTTTAGCTGAGCTATCTTAACTCCGTCATGTGAACTGACTGGCCTAACATATCACTTAATTCAGGGCCACCAACCAATTTAGGATAATGGTGGAATGAATCATAATGTAGCGATGCTAACTGGGTGTGGCATGATGGTATCATATTCCACAAAGCCGAGTTGCACAAATATCATTGTTTTTTAGTGGTGGTTATTCATACAAACTACACATCATTTTAACCTCGGAAACACGATAGATGATGGAGATAACAGTAAAATGTCACCTAGGTCTTTAATTGGTTGGTTGGTCACCCTGTTGAATCACTTACCACAATCATTCCAATCACAACCTCAATCAGCCAATCATCTTAGTCTTAAAATCCGAAGTCTACCAAAAAATCAAAAACTTGATTCCAGTTTTGAACACATCAAATATGCACTCCTGAAGATTCAATTGGAAGCGTTTTTTGTACTGTTATGTTTGCAATTACACATTAATTGGTATAATTGAATGAACAATGGTTAATAAGTATATGTTGCCGATTGCAGCTGCTGCAAACTCGGCTTTCGTAAGTTGTGATTTGAACTCAGCAGCTGCCGCTGCCACAACTTCAATGCTCGGGATTCAAGGTCAAATGAGTTTGCCTTTTCAACATCCGTTTCACGCATCAGCCAATCAGATGTCGCTATGTGCATCAACCAATCAAATGCCGTTAGTTCCTTACGGCGATAGTTCTGTAATGGGACACCGTGAAAACAATTTAGTGTGCTACGCTACAGCCTCGGCAACATCGGCAGCTATGTATCCCGGCGGCACGTTCTTTCCGACTGCATCTCAGCTCGTACCTTTCGAAAAGCAATTGCAATTACAAACTCAACATCAAAATCATTATGCAAATTTAAACCCAGTTATCAATGAAGAAGTAGGAGCTGCTATGACAATGGAGGATGCAAATAATGTCTTAAGTGAAGACTCTATGGGAAATTTGGTCTACCATGAAACGGGTTCTGGAAATATTTGTGAACAAGAGGGATACACCCCTCGAAACGGGTCCGAATCACCCAATAGCACATCTGGGGCAGTTATTCTCAGTGTACCCCAAATAATCAAGAAAGGTCAGGGACCGTCACGAAATCATAGATGTACAAATATTTAGACCTCCGTTCAAATTGATCTTGTCATGCTTGAGGTCAAGGGTCAATGATTGAATTGCTAAAGGCACGTTGCAATGTTTAAAAAACGCGTCGCAATAATGCGAAGTAAAATTCGAAATGCTTTGAAGTAGCGTTGAAACAGCTTCTCGTGCGATTAACTGGCAAAAATGCCGAACTCTTCAAATTTCGGAACACAAATTCTATTTAGCGAAATTTTGTAGTGAAAGTCGAATGTCGTTGGTTGCGGGCATTAGATATCGTCTCTTAACTCTTTCTTTCTATTCTGGAACAAAGTTGGGTTCTTTTTAGCTAACCATAGTTTAGTGACTCTATTCAACTAACAAACATTGAATCATCGCCATCTTATATTACCCTTGCGATCAGCTAGGGTATTGCAATCGGCTACTAGACTTTTTTCCTTGTAAATAACTTTGTTTGCAGATTAGACAAAATTAGAAAAGGGAAAATTAAGTTCAGTTTATATGAATTCACATTTATTTGCGACAAACTTGGTCTGGAGGTAACGAATACGCCTGGGACAGCAAAATTCCTGGGGGCAAATCTGACGGGACCTGTTTTTGCAAACGTGAAACTTTCAGTTAAAAACAATGTCGGCTTATTGTTTGTCTGCTTATGTTTTGTCGACTTAGTTGCCACATCTTGGATTTTTTTTTTGCTGTGCGCTGTTTACATTATAGTTGCTTTTACTGTTTTGATTTTCTTCGGCTGTTTGTAATTTTACTAACCATGAAAACTTGATTCTGCTCAAATGACTTCGGTTTACGTTTTATCGACTTAGTGACCCTATTATAATTCGATTCAAGAAAAACATAATTTTAAAGCTCCCTTCGGGTGGCTCAAAACTTTCAGATGTAAATTGATTTAATTTGTCGGCTTAATAGTTTTGTCTCAGTTTTTGCCGGCTTACTGACCGTTCTTTTTTTGTATTTTTTTGGAAAATTTTTTCAGTACCCCCCCCCCCCCCCCCCCCCCTCTAATTTTCAAGAGGGTAAGTACATGGTTTTCTGGTTTTCATACACGCCTAAGTTTTATATGAGAAAATTTATATGAGAAAATTGCATTAAATTTTAGTTTGTCTAATACAAGGTTTATGATTTGTTTATTTTATCTAAAAGTGCGTGGAGTTAGTTTTAGTTTATCGGTTTTTTATGAATTGAGTAGTTTCTTTTGGAATCGATTTAATTTGATGGCATAGCGTTTTTTTTCGTATGTCGAAATTTTTTTGAAAAAAAATTCATAAATTTTCAACATTTTTTTGCAATTTTGATTTAACTGTCTACAAAAGTATATAGCAAGTATCGCATGAGATTCAGTTTGTGGTTCTTTATGGCTATAATTTTGGAAAAAAAAAAGAATTTTCATGTTCAAATTGTTTCCTTTACGAGTGTTTTGATCTTTTTTTTATTGTGAGCCAGCTCTCTTAACTATGCGTATCAAGTTCATATTAGATCAGTCTGATGTAATTGAGTTATGTTTTGCTTTAAGTTTTGAGCGCTTTTTATCAGTTCTTTTTTGTGGAAATGGTTTGAAACTTCCGCGTTTATTAATTTTTTTTATAATAGCAAATATTCACTGTTGATGTTTATAGCCAATCGTTTGTCTAGAACGTGCTGCTTGCTAGGTTGCAAGATTTAAGGCGAAGTTTGTGCGAGCACTTTGGAACTTTTGGATACCGATTTTTTGGCCAACTTTTTATCTGAGCGTTTTGATGTATTGGTTATGAGAAAGATATGAGCTTGTGTAGCACGAATCTATCTGATGTTTTAGATAATTGATTTTTATAGCAATTGCGTTAAATTTTTTATTGATTTTTTTAGCCTACAATTTTTCCAGCAGAATTATTCAAGTTTTTCCGTTTTGGTTTGCGACACATTATCTTTTGGCTTTAGGTATTTTTTTAAATATCGCAAGTGGTGCGAAGCTCAGCTTCGCCTCTGTGTTTGTTTTGAACTCATAATTTTCATGTTTGAAATGTAAGAGCAATGTTATCACAGAAATACAGCAGAAAGACTGGTTGAAAATACGCAAATATTCTGAGCCTTTTGCAATAACGAACAAAACAGTTTTTGATCTTCCAATTGTTTTTTAAAAATTATAATTTAAAAGTAAGCGAAGTTTATAATTAAAAACATTCATGACAATAAACTGCTTCCAAGTGACGCCTATGCTACTGCTGCTGCCTTATGCCTAGTCTTTGCTTCTGTGCCTTGTACTGTATTGTACCATCTGTTCTTTTCGTAGCCTACTGATACAACTACTATACTGAAACTGCCACACCTACCAATATTACCTCTTTTCGCTAGTAGATGCAATTTAGTTCGTACCTCTCTCTGCTTATCAATGAGGGGGGTTGCTCTCTCGAATGAAATCAGTTCTGAATTAATTTGTATTAATACTTCGGTTCTTGTTAACTAGTATATGCTCCCCTATAGTACCTTGTAGCGAATTGGCCCCCCCTATAAAGGAAGAATTAACAGTTTAGCATACATGAGTTTTGTACCTTGTACGAATGGGCCTTCTTTTGCACAAGGGGACCATATAGTTAGCAGGACCCAATACTTTGAATCAGCACAATTGTTCAGATATTCAGTAGAAAACGAAAAATTTTCATCTTTTTTTTCGAAAAAAAAAATTTTCTCAACGTTTTTGAAACTCATGAGCGATCGTTTCTGACCTCATAATATAATTCAGGAGAGGTTTCATTTGAGATGTCATCACCTTGCCTCTCCAGCTGATTACTAACTAGTTTAAAATTGGTTTATAAATGACAGTAATATGAATTGTGTGGTGGTGGTTTCAGGGCCGGAAGGATGCAACCTTTTTATCTATCACCTGCCCCAGGAGTGTACAGATGCGGACCTGACGCAGATGTTTATCCCCTACGGACAGGTCATCAGTGCTAAAGTATTCATCGACAGAGCCACCAACCAGTCCAAGTGCTTCGGTCAGTACTCATGCTAATCGTGTAAAAAGACTGATATGAATTATATTATTACTATAATGTATGGAACTATGATACCAGTTTTTTCTTAGTAATAATATAACTATAACTTAGTAATAATATAAATGATACCAGTTTTTTCAGGGCCGAATAGAGCTTTCCGAGCTCTGTCGAAACTCTGGAATGACCATAATTTAGAACTGATTAACCAGGGCTGATTTTAGGACTGATTAACCAAAAATAGTTGATCATACATTTTGATTGTAAGATTGAAGCCCGAAATCCCCCACCCCTCGGCGAGCTAATACTGATATAATATATATTTATAATTTAAAATTAAATTTAAATTTTTTTACTTTTCTCCTCGAGAACTATGAAGATCAATCGGTAGTTGTTCATATTGTTAGACTATTTGGTCACCTTTGGCAATTTTTTATTCCAATTTTTGTGTTTCAGGGTTTGTGAGCTATGACAACCCCCAAAGTGCAGAGGCTGCCATCCACTCCATGCACGGATTCCAAATTGGCAACAAGCGACTCAAAGTTCAACATAAGAGGCCAAAAGATCAGAGTAAGCCTTACTAGCCAATCGGACTCCGGCCAACCCACAAAGCACCCTAACCAATCACAAAGCTGTAAAAGGACCCAGTTCAAACAGCCAATCAGAGCAGCCCATTTTCCAAATGCTTTCCAAATATGGTCACTCAGTACACAAAACAATAGGCGCCGATTGGTCAGAAAAGGTTCACAACTGCAGTTGCAATAAACTGAAACCTCCTTAAAACTTCTCTTTTTAGTTTAAATTTACAATATGTTTTGGTTTAAGTCATCTAATAATTTGATTATTACGAAAACGAATCTATCATATAATCAACAGGTGGTTCGATTTGATTAATCTTGCTTGAATGATCATTTTATTTTTATAATACAATTAATTACATTTCCTAATACAGAACAATGCCAAATATTCTTTCAGCTCATAATCCTTGCAGTTCGCTTATATAGCACTTATTTTCTATTATCTTGCTTATTTTTCTATCATTCATTTGATTTTGTTTGCTTTGATTTTGGTTGATTTCTTCATTTGGTTTCAAGCTTGTTTTATAATTTATAATTATAACCACCCATCTAACTTAACTTACTGAATTAACGATGAACGCTCAATAAGCCACGCATTTAAATTTGAGAAATGTTCAGTTAAAATGCCATATGCTTTTAGCCCCCCTCCCATCCATGAAAGTTAGAAACTTAAAAAATAGCGTAGATTTATATCCAAAAAATGATAGTGCTTATATTTATTGAACTAATAGCACCACTCTTTTGCTCTCTACTCTTCATCTCATTAAATAGAATTTGTTTATTCCAAGAAACACTCAATTCAAAGAGATTATTCAAGCTTTCCATTGTGTAATGATTTTTGGATGGGTTTTCGCCAACATTCTTCAACAATCCATTCCTTATCTAAAACACTTTTTAGCTGCTACTTTGTAATCAAAAACTTTCAGTTTTTAATTTTTCATGATACGAAATTTTGCTGTTTATGAACTTTGATTTTCATAAAAAAAACTGAAAGTTTGGGCTTTTTATGACTTGCCATAATTGGGCTTATTTTGATTGCAGTACAATTCATCGAACTGCTGTCTAACTTGATGCAGTGAATTAAATGACTGAAGCTCTTAAGTTAAATTTACAAATCCAAGTTTGTAGGGAATATTTTGCATTAAACTTTAAGTTGGATTCTTCTAGTCTATCAAACATTAAACATTATAATCATAACTAACTTCTGACAAGACTGAATGAAAAGGGCTGTTTAGTTTACTTTCTCTCACTTTCGTTTAATTTTTCATTATATTGCGATATAACTTTTGACGCGTGCGATAATAGTAATGTTCGACCATGTTTTGAAGATGTCAAAATATCTACTGAGAATGTCAAGCAATTAATGAACATCTATTATGGTTTCTTTGATTCATTCTAAATTTCAATCATTTTTGCAGCCTTAATTCAAAATTTATTATTCCAAATTTAATCTTTTTGTAACTTATTCCGAAGTACACTTATTTTAATCATAATTCGTCATATGTCCAAAGTCCTTTTGACGCGAAGGTCTTTTTTAAAATGGCCCCGGCCCTACTCTATGCAGGACCAAGCAAGGGGGAGGGGTGTCATCCATTTCGCTGCAGCCGGTCCCAATTTGAGGAGGGGGATGACAGTGGGATTCCAACTCACGACCCTCGTGATGAGAGACGCTTGCCTTACCCCAGTCGGCCACGGCTGCTCAACGGGAAGGTCTCGCGGGACTTGTAATTGTGTTAGAGCTTGGTCTCTAAATTATAAAAGTTTTCAATATTTGTATCAAAAAATTGTGTTGGTATCGCCATGAACCCTCTGAAATGATGGGAACAGAACTTAGTATACTGGCTTGCTTACTTCCACATTTTTTGGTGTGTCATTAAGGATTTTGTGGTCAAAATCGGATACGTAATGTTACATTTTGTGGTGAATAAATCACATGTCGATATAGTATCAGTAGAAAATATGGCACCGCGATAACTCACTACAAAGACAACTCGTACGAAAGAAATTTCGCAAAATTTATATAGGATTCAACAATTTCCATTTGGCGTTTTTTGAGCCAGGCAAATTCCGAGTTCAGTGTTTTTTCTGTTCTGCCAAAAACGCTAACTAAACATGCTGGTAGACATCTATTTATATCACTATTCGCCAAACTTTGACAAAAAATTTTTTGATTGAAATAACTTTCTCCATAAAAATCCTAATTAGTCTGCAAAAATCAACACGAGTTCAAAGTTTACAAAATACTCTATATTATTTTAAAAAGATACTTTCACTCTCGCGGTAGCAGTATAATATCATATGTACTTTGACGTTTGATTAGTAAAAAAGTAACACAACTGATGCTTTTCAATTCAACAAGTGAACCACAAAAAGCTATTAGCTCAATGTATCTCGCAATCTATTATAAATACAAATGCGAGTTTCACAATCTCGCCATGTTTAAGATTTTTGAATGTATTACTTTTGTATTTTTTTCATATTTAAGTTATAATGCAATAGTTTTTTTTCCATTTCTCAAATTGAAATCAACGTTTTTGTGTCAGTTCTGAAATTACCAACCTAAAAGTGGGATGCTGTCAGTGTTAGCCAAGGGGTTGAAAATTAGTTCAAAAATGAACTTCTAATTTTTTTTTAGTTTTCGAAGTTTAAAGGTTCTTGTGACTTTTTCGAAAAATTTCTGAAAACTTAGATTCAAAACATTCTGAATAAATTGAAAATTTCAACCCTGCAGGTGAGTGCTGTCAAAGTACTCTTAAACCTAGCAAGTTTTGCCTTAAGAATTGACTGCTCAAGTTTTTTTTATTTTCTGAGATATGACAATTATCATTTTTCACAAATTCAAATGACTTAGATATAAACACTTAACAAAATTTGAAATTCTTAACTCTATAGTGTGAGGTTCTGTCAAGCTACCTTCATTTTTTGCAAATCTTGCATCCAAATGTGACTGCTCAAAACCTTTTAGTTTCCGAATTAAGCTTTTTTTTCTGAGTTAAAAAAAGTTTTTTATGAAACTATATGAATACTTGACAAAAATTTGAAATTCTCAGTTCTGAAATCGCGTATTGTCAAGGTTCTCTCATGAATTCCGAATTGTGCATCAAATTGTAACTGCACAAACCCTTTTAGTTTCCGAGAAACGACGTTCTTAAGGTTTTTTCAAAAATATTTCAAATATCTTAGATTCTCAACTCTAAAATTGAAATTCTTGAATCTATAGTGTGAAGGGCTGTCAGGATACCCTCAGTCATTGCAAATCTCGCTTACAAATGTGACTGCTCAATTTTTTTTAATGTTCCGAGATTTGAAATTGTCATGATTCTTTCAGAAAATTTCAGAAGTTAGATTTAAAAAATCGACTTGTTTTGTAGTTGCCAACACTGTAGTCAGGTGCTTTGGAGGTACTGAGTGACTGGTCAAATATTTTTGGTTTCCTTGATATGACATTTTAAATAATTTTTTTGAAATTCCTAATCCTACAGTGGATTTTTCTTTGAGTTTTCTCAGAGGGAACTGATCATGCTTCAATAGTTGATTGCTCAAATAAACTTAGTTTCTGAGACATGCCGTTTTTGATGCTTTTTCATAAGTTTTACAAAATACTCAACATTATGGCCCCGTACTCTCAAAGTACTCTAAAGATGGTTTTACCGACTACAGTTCTTACTGCTTAGCGTCTTTTGTTTTATTAGTTATGACGTTTCTTTCTTCTTTTGAAAATTTTCAAAACTTAATTTTTTTCAATTAAACGATTTTCAAACTTTGAAATTGTCAACGCTTTGGTAGGGTGATGTCAGGTTACTACCAGAGGATGCATACGTGGCATCTCATTTTCATATATTTGCTCAAAATTTTTTTTGACCTTATTATTAATTAAAGAAAAATAGAGTCTGATATTTTAAAATTACAGACTGGTCTAAAACATATGGGTTTTTGAAAAGGCTGTCATTTTCGTTTGAACGGACGCTTGAATCTCATTTTTGGCAGGAAGATAGATAAGATGTGGAATTTGGAGAACCCGTGAACAAAAAACAATTTGGGGACACACGAAAAATGTTTTGCGCCATTTTCTTGATTTTCAATCATGCTTCCTTGAATTGTTCAGGCCAGTTTCTTCAATCTCGTCCATGTTATCAAAGAAATAAAATTCAGTGATGAGCAGCCCAATTTCATTATCCACCAGTTGGCCAAAGGATTGTCAGCAATTGCTGTCAAGCGAAAAACTCTTGAAACATATGCCATTTGGGGAAGGCAAAGAAGCATTTTCACTTTGACCGATTTTCAATGTGAATGGCGACGGTTGCAAGAGAGGTCCCAGGGACAGGATACAAACAGAGGTGCTCGATCAAAGATTCGAAAAGACAATTATCCGAGAATGGCGACACACTATGAAAACAACCTCAAATCAAGCATACGAGCGTCATCAAGGGCACTTGATATCCCCTCAACCAGTTTATGGCGGATTTTGAGGCGAGACTTAAAATTTGTTCCATTCAAAGTCAACAAACTGATAAAAGATTGTATAAAGAAGAAAGAAATTACGAAATGTGAGAAGCATTTTGCTTGTGATTTTTATCTCAGGATCGAAACTTTCACTCGAGGTTTCTCTGGAGTGACGAAAAATGGTGGGTTTTGGACCCAGAGTCGAACAGACAAAACGATGAAATTTGGGCGCGTTTCAACTCTCGCGATCTCGAAGAAATCCAATATTAGGGCAAAAGCAAAAAGCAAAATCGATATTAGGGCAAAAGTAAAATGTGCTGGGCTGGCTTTCTTCAAGGCGAAATCATGGGCCCTTTCTGGTTCAGAGATGAGAATGGAAGACCAATAACGGTCAACCAAAATGTGTATCTCAATGTGCTCAGGAACCAAGTAACCCCCCCTTGTGGAACACCGGCGAGATATTAGGAGACTTTAGCTCCAACAAGATGGCGCATCATGCCATACAACCCCTCCAGTTTTACAGTTTCTACAGACAGTTTTTAGTGACCGCATTATCAGTCGCCATTCCCAAATTGGTTCTGTGGTTATGGTGTGCTGCAATTCATCAACAAAACCCCAAGACCACTTCCAAACTAATCACAAGCGTTGAAAATTTCTATCGTGGGATCACACAGGATCAGACTTTAGCTGCTACAGCCTCAATTCACAAGCGAATGATCAAATGTCAAGAAAATGGCGGGAAACTTTTTCAACATCTCTTGAAATGAATAATTTTTACTTTAAATAAAATTTCCACATCTCTTCTATAACGTGTTAAATTTTCATCTGTCTATGCCAATTCAGTTAAAAATGACAGCTTTTTCAAAAGTTTCATAGGTTTTGGAACGCCCTGTAATTACGATGGATTATGAATCACATTTATGAATTTGATAATTTTGCAAATGATTTTTTCAGTTTTTAGCATAAAAAGTGCAGTTGTTTGCTGTCGGCTATTTTAAAGTTTCACTTACGAAGATCTGAAACTCAAGGTTTACGGAGATTTGAGCATTCCAGTCAGAATCATTTAAACTGTTCGTGAAATCAAAAGCGTTCGGTTACATTCATTTCTTTGTTTCTATCTTCATTTTGTAAGTAAAAGCAGCTTTCATTTTTACTAATTTTGATAAAGCACCAGAGGTGCGTTACACGCTAATTGATTTGAAACGCATAATTCATACAAAATTTGATTTCATGCTTTCCAATTTACTACATGCAAAATTGTGTTCTTCTGTGTTTGGTGCTAATTTTGCTGCATTGAATTGGCAGTTTATTAGCATATGTAGCTGCGTTGGCTAGTTTTTGGGGATTGTAAGCATCCGTGACTAAGTGGTTAATGCGTGAGACTCCAATTGGCTGGGTCGCAGATTCGAATCCGATGCGTAGCCTTGAGTTTTTGCTACTTCGAGGCTTAAGTTTACTTCTTCTTATTTGACTGGATAGAGCTGCTTTTTGGTTGTTTTTTTTGCAGGTGTTTGCGAAGCGCAGCTTCACCTCTGTGTAAATCTCAGTAGTAAAAAACACAAATACAATTTCAAGAGAATATCAAATCTTAGTAGTATAAAATCACACATATTAGAATCAGTTCCCTTCCGAATGATCAACAAATGATTTGGATATAAAGTCAGCTAGGCTTCGAAGCTCATCTAGTAACTAAACTTGACGGTAATCTGTTGGATAGCTTTGATCTGCTCCACACCAACAAATTGGCTCTTCTGTTAAACTAAAATGAGAAAAAAAAGTACATGATTCTGTATACCCTAAAGTTTTTACCTCGGAGCGATCGTTTGATACGCCTTAGGGTGTACAGATCTAATGTCTGTTCTCCCTTACCATTTTTAAAGATTAAGTATGAGGATTAAATGTCTTTCACCGATGCCAATACGCGACAGACTTCTGGTTCAGCTGACTGAAAATTTTGTTTTAATGATATCTCAAGTCTTTTCCAACTAGCTGCTTAAAATGAAAAAA